AGAGTGAAGAGTGAAGAGTGAAGAGTGAAGAGTGAAGAGTGAAGAGTGAAGAGTGAAGAGTGAAGAGTGAAGAGTGAAGAGTAATAGGTTGAACACATGAAATGGTGTGTTACTCATTCACAAACCATTAACTCACAGTCAATCAAATCACCCCCTCTCCGTACTCGTAGACGATACGACAATACAGCACTTGGATATAAGATCAAGGTAACAGATGCAAGTTGACAAAAGGGTTTGATCCAGGTTCTTGAAGAAGAAGAAGAAGAAGATCAGCCAGATCGGATACGAGTAGGCAAAGGTGAAAAGCAAAAAGAAAAGGTCATTCCCTACGAGAGTACTGTCGCTCTTTTCCTCCGCTTCCATCGAGGCAAGATGTATCTCTGAGGTACTCACCTACTACCCACCCTGGCCTACGTAACTTGTTCATTCTACTAGTCCGTTTGATAGGTACGGTATTACATGCAAGCGAGTTCCAGTCAGAGTCGCAAAAGTTGGATATTGTAAAGGGAAACAGATAATTCCTTAAAGGGTTTTGGTAAACTCCGTGATCTGCAACTTTGATTATTTTTAGTATCGAAAACACCGTCATACCGCATCGAACTCGCGACGAGTAACGGAGTCCTTGTAGGTATTCTATGGACGAACAACAAGTACAGTTTTCCTTTTGCGTCAATCAAACATCCGGCCATGTTTTACTAACATGAGTTTTTTGTGTTTGTTTTGAATGGACTTACCAACGAGAGAGGATAAAAAGGACAAGTTCAAATTTGCCTTTTGCAGTTTTACTCTGTGGTCGTACCCTTGTTCTCTCGCAAACTACAGAAAATCAGTTCTTGACATGTTGATGCTCATGGGATTTAAGAGAACGAGAGTACATATTTCGTCATTGGGAGGCTAAGGACTTCTTAACACTGTACTGTAACGAGTCAAGAATGGGTCAAGGAAGAAAATCAAGGAAATCGTAACCACAGAAGAAAAACAGTCTTTTTGGTAGAGGTAAGCGAGAATCCCTTGCATGATACTACGGGGCGGTTTGGGGCCATCCAGGGTTATACGGAGTACGTACGCACACGAGATACCTTTTGGCTCGGGATTTGCCTACCTAGGTTGATGTCCATTTCCCTTTCTTCATTCTTTGGACTTTGAACGCAAATGGAAAATGGGCCGTGGACATTTACATTACATTACACCTTTGATGTTCCTCAGTTATGATGAATGAAAAAAAGGTTTGGAACATAGAACTCTGTCAACTCGTTGTATCAGTGGGGGAGAAGTAATCTTTGTACCTACCCAGTACTCCGTACTTGGGGTACATTCCGTACGCGAGCGAGGCTGTGAACCCCCTTGTACAGTTTACGTAGAATGGGCTACAACAAATTACTACCAATGTTACTCGTACGGACGCCTTCTACCAAAAACAAGGCACCATGAGATTCGAGTGTTTGTACCTTCTCGTATCATGATTATTGTTACCTACTTGAAATACTACCAACTCCCGTACAGAGAAGCATGAGATTGAGCAAAACGTCCACTCTTACCCTATACCGCTCGTACCTCGGTTCATGGTCGGCTTCTTTTTTCCTTCGATCCAAAACATCATCTTCACCGCAGTGCTCTCCGTACTACTACGATACTCGTAGTACATCACCGAGACAGATCATGGTCACGAACATCATGACCCCAACTATTGACGATTCCTCAGTTCCCTGCATGCCCACCTAGGTTCACACCTCATTCATCCAAACTGTGCCGGTAGAGAGAGAGAGAGACAGCAAAGGGTTCCATCATCATGTGAAAGGCTGTCATTAGGAAGATAGATTCTTGTATCCAAGTCAAAGACGATCGGAACAATCTCAAGGACACCAATCCAATCATGTCCTGCATAGATATTCCAGGCCATCCAAACATCATGTTATTGATGAATCTAAAAAGCCCCCATTGTCTATCTTCTTGTTCGACCGACCCCCATAATCAATAGTCGACCATCACAGCTCAGTAAAACACACTTTCATGTAACGTTTGAGATTTTTCTTTTCGAATAAAAACGCCCAATATATACTCAACTACTGGTTCCAGTTTCCAGTATCCCAGATCCAGTTTCGTCGTATCGACAGCTCTAGCTCTCGGAGAACAAGCACGACCCCCAACACTTTTTTTCTCTCTTTGTCGTGCATCAAAAAAATGCTTCAGTAGGAATTGTTCAACGCTTCAAAACAGATTTCGTGTCTTGTGTGTCCACTTGTATCTCCCTCCCCGCCGAAGAAGAAACGCCTTTAGTGTTTCGCAGTGACCTTGTCACCGGTCAACTTTTCAACAGCCTCCTTGGCCCTATTATCGACAATGTCAGCGAGAAGTCTCCACAGCCACCAAAAAAAAAGACACTCACATGTCACCCAAAGCAACCATACAAACAGTTTGCCAAACGCCGAGTCCAATACGAGGAGTGACACCACGGTACAATCCTTTGACGCCGTTGCTTTCGTAGATGTACTTGAATGTTTTTCCGACCGTCAGATTCTTGGGTCGGTTTGGGTCATTGGTCTTGCTCTGCATCTCCACCCGAATGACTTCGATGGGCTGATTCCACGCAGACAGACCACCACCGAGGGAGCTGGCGATGATCTTTTCAAAGCCACTGAGCTTCTCTCCCTGCTCCTTGTTGGTCACTTTCCGAATGGCCGACTCGGCCAGTCGGGAGAGACCGAATCGAGATCCCCAGTTGGTGGTTTGGCGGATCGCGACCGCGTTGACGCCCTTGTTGATGCCTCTGATGCCTTCCTTTCGGTAGATGTCGGCAAAGGTCTTGAAGGTCGAAGGGGGTTTCACGCCCTGCGCGGCCAACTTGTGCTGGGTTATCTCCACCGTCTTCATGCAGGTGCAGAAACCCATGGTCGCGTACGCCTGGGCGACACCGCCGACCATGCCACCGGTGATGCCAGAAACAAAGTTGTTGGCTCCAAACGTCTTGGCGTAGTACTCTGCCTCGGAGGCGACGAAGAGGAGGACGGCACCCTTTGTCGAGGCTTCGATCCAGGCCCAGGGGATGAGACCTTGGTAGTCTATTTTCGTACATCGGATTAGCTTCTCAAAAACACCAGAAACAAGACCGAAATCACATCGCCACCGTTGTGGTTTGCTTACATCCCAGGACACCACCTCGTCCCCAAATTCTTGACATGGCACCGGCGAAGCTGTCCTTTCGATTGGCAGCCATGGTGGTCTTGATCACCTCCAACGGTTGTCCCAAGGTGGTCACTTCGAACAAGTTGAGTCCCGCGCCTAGCAGCAGGTTGCTGAACTTGACCGGCTTCTTCTCAATCTTCGCGACACCAGGGGCCGAGGTACCCATGACTTGTTGAGCGGACATGGCAAAAAGAGGTGAGGGGGATATTGTCTGCCCTGACCAAGGGATTAGGTCGGCTTCGTCGCCTGGAGGGATAGAGTGACTAGGGAAGGGATGGAATTGGAGGGCTTTCTGAGTGTCGTGAGTCTCGAGGAAACAAAGGTAGAGTCCGAGAGGAACGCAGGAACAAAATGGACGGACAGTTTTAGGTATGGAGATTAAAAGCGGCCGCCCCCAGAGAACAAGTACAGTACTCCTGCTGACACGATTATCGGGGCCGGAGGGTGGAAGAATGTTCAGCTGGAGATTCGGCGATGGATTCGAGTCAAAGACTAGTCAACGCGGTGGCCAGGTGAAAAGGGCCCTTGAGTACGGAGCAACAGCAGCAAGACGAGAATGAGAGACACGGTTATCGTAATGCATGCGGCCTCGACAAATCCCAATCAAGATTAGCCCGGCCACCATCGGCGTTGTTGAACGGACTGCGAATTCTCACCCTGATTCTCTCAGCCACAACTTGTCGCCCGTGAATGGCCCAGGCTGCCCTGAGCCGCCTAAATTGGCGGACTCGTCTCTCCCCAGTGGAGCCATTGGGCGTTCAACAAAGGCACCTCAACGTCCGAAAATTTTATTTTAGGCCCTGTCAGACAACACCGGTGCAACACGAGATACGAGCCTTGACCTTCCCATGCCAGCACTACGGCGAATAACGGTGCGCAACTGACTGCTACGAGTACACCCACGAACCAAGTAGAGTAAACAAGATTGTCCCAAGAAACGCTCATCAATTAAAATGGCATACTACAAACCTCGGAACGATTGAGCCTGCTCCCGATGATAGCCGACCTGCCCATCCATCTTCCCTCCAATATAGAACTACAGATTTTGGGTTGCATAGTACATCGCTTGCTGCTTGTTTCCATGTCGCATAGCTTGCTTACAATGAAGCTCCAACGAGTTTGGCATAAGCCTCGGTGCTGAAGGACTTTGGTCGTTCAATGGGAGCTCCAAGACCACGGTCGATGATCAGTTGAGGAAGGACACCAAGAGCGCGGGAGACACCGAAGAGGACGGTGTAGTAGTTGGCTTCAGTCAGGCCGTAGTATTGCAGGAGGACACCAGAGTGCTAGAAATGAAATTAGTATGTCAATCATCATAGTATGTTCAAAAGCTCAAGACAACTTACCGCGTCAACGTTGGGGTATGGGTTCTTGGTCTTGCCGTGCTCGGTCAGAACACCAGGGGCGATCTTGTAGACCTGGCTGACAAGCTTGAACATGGGGTCATTGGGCAACTTGCGGAGAGCGAACTCGCGTTGAGAGACATAACGAGGATCGGTCTTGCGAAGAACAGCGTGTCCGTATCCCGGGACGACACGGCCACTGTTGAGGGTGTCCCAGAGATACTTGGTGATGCTGGCGTCACTGAGATCATCACCAATGGACTCCTTCATCTTGGTCAGCCAGAGCAAGACTTCCTGGTTGGCCAGGCCGTGAAGAGGGCCAGCCAGACCGTTCAGACCAGCAGCCAGCGACAGCATTGGAGAGCTCAAAGCGCTACCGACCAAGTGAGTGGTGTGCGCACTGACGTTACCACCTTCGTGATCGGAGTGGATGGTCAAGTACAGACGCATCAGCTCGATAAAGTCGGCATTGTCACCGTAGCCAAGCTGGTTGGCCAAGTTGTAACCATAATCCTTATCTTTCTGGATGGGTGCGACCTTGCCATCCTTGTAGGCGTTGCGGTAGATTTTGGCGGCGATCGTGGGAAGTTTGGCAATCAGGTTCATCGAGTCCTCGAAGGTGTAGGTCCAGTACTCCTTCTTGTTGATACCCTTGGCGTAGGCTTTGGCGAACTCGGAGGTGTGCTCGAGCGCGGCGACGGCGATGGAGAATTGAGCCATGGGGTGCATGTCGCTTGGGCAGCGGTCGAGGAGCTCCTCGACGAACTTGGGCAGATCGGAGCGAGCAGCCCAGTCTGCAGAGAGGTCGCGGACTTGTTGTTCACTTGGGACCTCGCCGGTAAGGAGAAGCCAGAAAAGACCCTCCGGAAGAGGCTCCTCACCACCAGGAGCCTTGGGCAGGACTTCCTGGCATTCTGGAATCGTCTTGCCACGGAATCTGATACCCTCTTCCGAGTCAAGAACTGATCCTTCCCAGACTAGGGACTTGATGCCTCGAGCACCTCCGTAGACCTGGTCGAGGGTGACCTCGCCAACAACCTTGGAACCATAGTCCTTTCTCAGCTTCTTGACCTTTTCGATCTCGCTGGGGAGCTTGTCTGCAAAGGTGTCCTTGAGGGTCTAGTTGTGACAGAGGAGTCAGTATTTGTTCATTGAACGAATAGTGGGAAACTTACTTTGGTGCTGGCGCAGCGAACCCCATTGAACGCAGCTTTCTGGACGAAAGGCTTGGAGGAGACTGAAGTCGAACGAAGCAGGGAGCTTCCAACACGGAGGGAGGAGGCCATTGTGAGAATATAAAGAACTTTAAGGAATGGAACACAGTCAGCAACGAAGAGAGGAATGGGAAGGTGAATAAGGTCGGTAGTTGGGGGAAAAAATGTTTAGATAGGGAGAAGAAGCTACAGTACGATGATGCTGAGCAGCAAGATTTGAATGGGGCTCCGGGACAGCTTGGAACTGTTTTGGGGCTTTTTTTCGGGAAAAGGCACTTTTTACTGTACGGATACGACTATTATTACTCCGGGCCTGTGTAAATGCTGAGGCTGCGCGGAAGCCGGATTTCACGTCACAGAGACTCAACACGCACTCCGAACATCCCGCCGCTTGTTTGCCCGCCGACCAGCCGCAGTCACGTGTATTGACCTCCAGCGCCAAGGGTGGCCGCTTCGGTGGGTTTTCTTTGCCTGCGTCTGCTGCCGCCTTTATCACCATTGAGGTCGCCTATAAGTGCCGGTTCCATCTTTGTCGCAGCCTGTCTCCTCCTCACTTTCACCAACCTCTTTTCCTCATCACCCTCACTTCTCTCACACCCTTCTTCATCATCGCCCAGCATCTCTTCTTTCCTGCGCATGTAGCGCCATCAACTGTAATTCTTTTTAGATCGGACAAACACTTATCTCGCCCTTGAACGATAGATTTCTCGCTCTAGCTGCCCACCCAGGAAAATTGAGAGGCGTCTTGCCACTCAGACTGTAGAAGTCTGCTGCGCGTCGCGGTGCTTTGAAAAGGAGCAAGATAAGACTCTCTCAAACCTGAACGTCGCGTCATCTTCGCGTCATCTTCACCTCATCTGCTCGTCGAGTTTGATAGACCTCTTGGAGACTTAAAGAAGCTACTGCACATCGGACTAGTTCAACTGGAGGTTTTCTCTGCTTCGACTTAGTCACACCAGTCGACATAGCCAGATCAAGTCTGTCGCGATCACGTTGACTCGACGTCGTAGGACAGATCTATCCGTTCCTTCATCATGTCGTCTGCAGTAGCAGAGCTGGATTCAATCCTGCAGTCCATGCTTAACCTCAAACCCCCAGGAGTGTCAGGTTCCAAAATCACAGCAATCACATCTCTTTGCACGGCCAACATCCAAGTACGTCAATCACGTTTGCCTATTTGCGCCGAAACTGTCACTGACATTTTGCTATAGTCCGAGTCGGTCCTCATCCAGAAAATCTACACTCACTTTAAAAAGACGCCGGGAACACACAAGCTAGGAGTTCTGTATGTTGTAGACTCAGTAACGCGACAATGGGTAGACCAAGCCCGCAAGGCTGGTCAGCAAATTGGTAGCGGAGCATCAGATGGAACATTCGCTGCCGGCGTGAATCGAGTGACTGAATTGCTTCCCGTGCTCATGAACGATATCATTACCACGGCCCCTGAAGATCAAAAGGTATGGTAAAATCTGCTTTTGTGCTATCACATGCATTTCAAACGGGACACGGCATTATGTCCGCAGACATCTGTAATATCCAGCCTTGTCACGACTTTATTGCCCTTGCTTTCATGCGTTGCATTTGATCATTGCTCATATTTGCCATGGCTTGATAGGTCAAAATCAACAAACTCCTAGAAATCTGGGATCGCTCACAAACATTTCCCGCGCCACTGCTTTCCTCATTGAAAGAAAAACTGAATGCACCGCGAGGTAGGACCTCTCCTCTCGGATCACTGTAATTATCCTGACTTTGCCATAGTTTCCACCACCCCCGAAGGCTCCCCAGCCCCCGGTTTCGTCCCTCTGGGTCAGCAACAAGCAGCAACAGCCATGTCCAATACACAGCCTTCAGCAGCGCCAGCTCAGCAAGACACCTCTGCCATACTCGAGGCCCTCAAAAACATGGCAAAGCAAAATGCTGCCGCGCCACAGCCCACTGCTGCACCCGCACCAGCTAGTTTGAGTAGTCTCTTAGGCGCGCAAAACGGGACTTCTCTGCCGACCAGTACCGTAAACCAAAGCCCAGGTCCCGCTGGTGCCAGTGTACCAGGTGTAAACCCTCTGGGAGCTTTGCTTGCAGGAATGAATAATGGTGCTCAAAGCCAGAGTCCTGCCAATGTGCCGCAGAACCCACTTGCTGCCTTTCTTCCTCAGCCACAAGCTTCTGTCCCGATGCCTCAGAATCCTGCTCCTATAAATCCAGACATCCAGGCTCAGATGCAGCTCGTACAGCTCCTGGCTGCTCAAGGTGTTCCCCCTGATCAATGGGCGACAGCGCTTCAATTGTTGAATATGCAGAATGCAGGTGGCGGTGCCAATGCGATGCCATTCCAGCCCCCAATGCAAACCAACAATTGGCCTGCTCCAAATGGTGCTCAGTCACGTGATGCCCACACCCGATCTCCTCCGGGCCAGTATCGGCGTCGCTCACGCTCGCCTGGCTATGACAGAAGACGAGAGTTGTCTCCTAGACGCCATCGGGATAGCCCAGGGCCTGATCAATATCGTGACCGTGATGGACGACGTGGTAACGATTATCGCCAACGAAGTCCCGGTAGAAGACGACGGTCCCCGAGTCCTCAGGCTCACGATGCTAGTCTTCCCCCACCTGGACCTAAGAATGTCACGTTCGATCGAAGCTTGCCTAAGGGGCACATCAAAGTTTTCAGTCGAACGCTCTTTGTGGGAGGCGTAACTACAGGCGAGGCTTCCTTGAGACAAGTCTTTGGCCGCTTTGGGATCGTCCAAACATGCATCGTCAACATTGACAAACGACATGCCTTTATCAAGATGATTAATCGCCACGATGCAGAAGCTGCCCGACATGGTATGGAAGAATACAAGCTGGGCGACTCTCAGCTCCGCGTAAGTAGACGGCTGTTTCCAATGGTAGTCCTCACTAACTGACCAAGCTACAGACCAAATGGGGTGTCGGATTTGGACCACGTGACTGCAGCGACTATTCGACCGGCGTCAGTATTATTCCTATTGAACGTCTAACGGAAGCCGATCGAAAGTGGATGGTCAATGCTGAGTACGGTGGCACGGGAGGTGACCCTATTCAAGAATACATGGTTGTCGAAGAACCAGACATTGAAATCGGAGCTGGCGTGTCCTCTAAAGGTACGAGACATTTTCTACGATATATCGTGAATATACTAATCCTTGCCTAGCGATGAGTCGACGTATTCCCACCGACTCGGGTGGTCGACGGGGCCCTCAGTCATCTCGTCAACACGGTGGTCGTGATGAAAGACGTCGCGACGACGATCGACGAATCGACAGAGATGATCAGGTTGAATCCAACAGTAATACTGGTGTCGTGCCCCCAATGGGCTTCCCTATGAACTTCGGAAATGGCATGCCCATGTTCCCGCCAGGTTTCCAATTTCCGGGTATCCAACAGAATCAACAGGAATAGAGTATGCCAGGGAAAAAACCGGAGGAGAGAACATGACATGAGATACATTACACTTCGATTGATACCCTGTACAGAATTGATACTTGCATGGGCGGCGTTCATCAATGGTGGAAAGCGGCGATCTACGAACAGTCATCATGACCTCGTCGTGGATCTTTACTTGTAAATGACATTGAGGATTCCAACATTTCTCGAAGGTTACTGTTTTGTTTTGCCGATGAGCACGACAGCAGCAGAGGTTTGGACTCTCCGTGTTCAAGTAGGGCCAGCGTGCTGTGAATAACAGTACCAGAACCGTTTGCAAATTCATAGCATAAGCATATGCTGCATTTTCCTTTCGACTTTTTGGTGTACTGTCATCACTTGCACAGCCTCACGTTGATGCGTCTACATCTCGGACGGATCCACAGATCAAAGTGCGTGTGAATCAGCATTGTAGGATGACCATCAACACATGTGCAAATTGGTAGATAAAGCACTCCTCTTAGGTGTTGTAGAAGAAGTTTCTCAATATGCACGACTAGCGAGCAACTACTCTTCGCAACTCACAAAGGGTAGATCCTTGAATGCAGCCGTGATACTCCTCCATAATCCTCACATACCTGTAGCTTAAACATAGAAAGTCAATAACTTCAGCCACTCTGTCCATCAGTGGATCGGTTGGTTCAAGGACCACTATTAAGTACATTCCACAAGGCTCCTCCTTATTGATTCCACAGGGCTTTGCGGGGAGCGAATCTGGGCGCCAATTGATACTAACAACCGTCATCATCATGCTACTCGTTCTGTAATATTTGCACCTGCGCTGCTGCTTCTGGCCGAGTCTCTATGATTCTGTTTTGCCCTCGCTCCATATAATGAGCTTCATACGTTCTTGACATTAAATGCTGGAGCTTCCCTCCTGTTCCTCCTCTAAACCCTGACTGCTTCTTTATGCCATATACAACGCGCCTTCCCGACTTCGATCTTTCCCCAATGACCATCTACTTATACCTTACTCTCACTGTTATCTTGTCCCTCATGGACCTGACATAGCACCGCCATATTTCCCCCTCTTACCTCTTTGCTTGACATATTCAATATGACAGATATACCATCAAATGATAGCTCCGCAGGCTCCGCCTCTCGCAAACAACCGCCGAGAGTCACGATCAATGCCACCGAAGTGCCTCACAGGGAACATCGTAATGATCCCCTGTATGTGGAGAAGAGGCAGTCCAGAGTGGATGAGGACGATGAAGAGGAGGACCTTGATGCTCTTATTGAAGAACTAGAGTCTCTGGATCCGGACGAGGCTCTCGAGGCCGAGATCGAGACAATCGGAGCAGCTCGCCTAGTTCCGGAGGAGATGCTCCAGACCGATCCACGCGTTGGGTTGATTGAGCCAGAAGTGGTAGCAAGACGCAAAAAGTATGGCCTCAACCAGATGAGGGAAGCGAAGGAAAGCCTGTGGCTAAAGTTCCTTGGCTATTTTGTTGGCCCTATACAGTTTGTTATGGAGGTAAGACGGGCCCTTCAATATCTTCATGTGGTCACTGGCCCTGACACATTTACAAATAGGCTGCTGCTATCCTGGCTGCCGGTCTGCAGGACTGGGTCGACTTTGGCGTAATATGTGGAATGCTCTTACTCAATGCATCGGTCGGCTTTGTCCAGGAGTTCCAAGCTGGATCCATTGTCGAAGAACTCAAAAAGACACTTGCTCTCAAGGCAGTAGTCCTCAGAGAAGGTCGGCTGGTTGAGATCGAAGCGCCAATGGTCGTGCCTGGAGATATTCTACAGCTCGAAGAAGGGACTATCATTCCAGCCGATGGTCGCGTGGTCACAGAAGATGCCTATCTCCAAGTCGACCAATCTTCCATTACTGGAGAGTCACTTGCAGCTGACAAAGGCATCGGTGACACCTGTTATGCCTCCTCTGCCGTCAAAAGAGGCACCTGCTTCATGATCGTCACGGCCACGGGAGACAACTCTTTCGTCGGTCGAGCAGCCGCCCTGGTAAATGAAGCATCTGGTTCTACGGGACATTTCACCGAAGTCCTCAATGGCATCGGTGCGGTCTTGCTCGCACTTGTTATCTTCACATTGCTTGTTGTCTGGATTTCGTCCTTTTACCGTTCCAATGACATAGTCACCATTCTCGAATTTACCTTATCCATCACCATCATTGGAGTGCCCGTTGGTCTCCCTGCTGTTGTTACGACTACTATGGCTGTCGGTGCCGCATACCTTGCTAAGAAGAAGGCCATTGTTCAGAAATTGTCGGCTATCGAATCACTTGCCGGCGTGGAAATACTCTGCTCTGATAAAACGGGGACCCTCACCAAGAACAAGCTATCATTGCACGAGCCCTACACTGTGCAAGGGGTGGATCCAGAAGATCTGATGCTCACTGCGTGTCTTGCTGCCTCGAGGAAAAAGAAGGGAATGGACGCGATTGACAAAGCCTTCTTCAAAGCCCTTCGATACTACCCACGAGCGAAGGGAGCATTGGGAAAGTATAAAGTTGTACAATTCTCTCCTTTCGACCCAGTCTCGAAGAAGGTTAGTGCTATTGTTGAATCGCCACAGGGAGAGCGTATCACCTGTGTCAAGGGTGCGCCACTTTTTGTCTTACGGACTGTCGAAGATGATCATCCCATTCCCGAAGAAATCGACATTGCCTACAAGAACAAGGTGTCGGAGTTCGCAGCTAGAGGTTTTCGATCTCTTGGTGTCGCTCGAAAGCGAGGCGAAGGCCAGTGGGAAATCTTGGGAATCATGCCATGTGCTGATCCGCCACGATATGACACCGCCAAAACTATCAACGAAGCGAAGAGGCTGGGCCTTTCTATCAAGATGCTTACCGGTGACGCAGTGGGCATTGCTCGTGAGACCTCCCGACAACTCGGCCTCGGCTCCAATGTCTTCAACGCCGAGCGCCTCGGTCTTGCTGGTGGTGGCACCATGCCTGGGTCCGAAGTGTATGACTTTGTTGAAGCTGCTGATGGGTTTGCTGAGGTGTTCCCGCAGCATAAATATAACGTCGTTGAGATATTGCAGCAACGTGGTTATCTTGTGGCTATGACTGGTGACGGCGTCAATGATGCGCCCTCACTGAAAAAGGCAGACACCGGCATTGCAGTTGAAGGTGCTTCTGATGCCGCTCGGTCAGCGGCCGACATCGTTTTTCTGGCTCCGGGTCTTTCTGCGATCATTGACGTTCTGAAAACATCTCGACAGATTTTTCACCGCATGTACGCATATATCGTTTATCGAATTGCACTCTCGCTTCACCTGGAAATCTTCTTCGGCCTCTGGATCGCCATTCAGAACCAGTCACTGAATCTCAAGTTGGTCGTCTTTCTCGCAATCTTCGCCGACATTGCTACTTTGGCCATTGCTTACGACAACGCACCGTACTCCAAGACTCCGGTCAAGTGGAATTTACCCAAACTCTGGGGGATGTCTATACTGCTTGGAATGGTATTGGCCGCGGGCACATGGATTGCTTTGACCACGATGCTAATTTGGGGTGACGATAAAGGCATTGTGCAAAACAGTGGCCATAAAGACGCGGTTCTCTTCCTGCAAATCTCACTTTCCGAGAATTGGTTGATCTTTATCACCAGAGCGAATGGGCCCTTCTGGTCAAGTTTGCCCTCATGGCAACTGACCGCAGCAATTATTCTTGTTGATATTCTCGCCACCTTATTCTGTATTTTCGGCTGGTTCGTTGATGGAAAAGGGACCAATATCGTTGCCGTGGTCCGAATCTGGTTGTATTCGTTTGGGGTATTTTGTGTCATGGCTGGATTGTATTACCTGTTGCAGGACAGCGTCACATTTGATGATATTGTGCATGGAAGGCGGTCGCGAACCAAGAAGGTGCTTAAGAAGCGGGACATGGAGGATTTCCTGGTGGCTTTGAACCGCGTGTCCACCCAGCACGAGAAGGTTGCTTGAGTGCGACCATTCTGCTCACGGGTGTCCACACGATGTCGACGTCTGCAGGCGAGTCTGTGACATGGCCGCCTCCACCGTTGGACCCCGAAGACATCATCGCCTCAGCAACGTTTAGCAAGGCCAAACTCGTCCAACTACGGCCCCGACCACGGCGTGCCACCCCCAACACGCCTAGAGCCTCCCGCGAAGGTTTCCTTCCGAAGCTCAAATTGAGCGATTCTCCACTTGCAGAGTCTTCGAACAGAAAGGATGCTTGACCTGGAAGAGCGTTGGCCATGTTTTGTCCTACCTGCTGCACGAATATAGGTGGACTGGGAGGCTGGGTCCGGGACGAACACAGCACGATTGGCCACAGGATGGTCGAGCTCGAGTTGCTTCACTTTCCATTACGACTTTAATGAACAAGGATACCCTTATAGTAGAATGAGCATTGTACGTAATTTTAACTTCTGTTTACAGTCTGGTGAAGGGTAGGAATTTGCGACGTGTCGTCTTGCTTAACTTGTGAATGTCATGTACTTGCATTTGTCTGCCATGACGAAGACTCAACCTAACATTCCACTAGAACATTGTGAACTATCGGAACGGAAACCAGCTCCAGGGCAGCATATCTCGTGCGCGGCCGTCATGTCATTGTTGAAGAATGGTTCGGCCCCTGATCATGCGTCATCGTGGTCTGTGGACGTAATGATGGGCTCCCAGTCCTCGAGCAACTTGAGGGTGTCGGCGCACTTTTGTCGGATGCCTTGGACACAGTCCTTGCCCAGGACGATCCTGAGGGGGATGTCCCTCCCCGCGGCGGCCCCCGTGCGGGTCAGGACGTCGACGACGACCTTTGACCCCTTGACGACGTCCCCGGGCTGCTTGTTGTCGACAGTGTCGAGGGCCCTGCGGACGTCCCCGACGGTGGTGTCGGTGTAGTCGTCGATGACCTTGGCGGACTTGATCCGGGCGCCCGGGTTGAGGAACCCGGTCCTGAAGTAGCCCGGCTCGATGACGGTACAGGTGATGCCGAGCGGTCTGAGTTCCTGGTAGAGAGACTCGGAGATGGCGGTGCAGGCCCACTTCGTGGCGGCGTAGTTGGAGAAGGCGGCGCCGCCTCGCCAGGATCCCAAAGAACCAAAGTTGGCGATGATGCCGGACCGTCGGGTGCGCATGCTGGGGAGGATGGCCCGGGTGACGTTGATCATGCCGAAGACGTTGGTCGAGAATTCTGCCAGAGTCTCTTCGGGGCTGTTTTTGTGTGTTCGCACACTCTCGTTAGTTTCTTTTATTTCCACTGAAGATATGATTCCGTGGAATATGGGGAGGCTTAGGGAGGGGAAAAAGGAATAGGATCGGGTTTTGAGATAGGAAGAAAAAAAAAGGGCAAAGGCAAAAAGAAAAAGACATACGATGTCTCTTCAAGAGCACCTTCCAGGACATAGCCTGCCGCGTTGATCAGGATGTCGACCCGACCTCCGGCGTCCTTGACCATTTGGTCGACTGTAGATTGGATTCGGGGCATTTCCCACGTCACGTCGAGGGCGTACGTCTTTGCTCCTTTCGACTTGAGGTCGTCTATCTTGGTCGGGTTCCGGGCCGTCGCGAGTACCGTGTGGCCTCGAGATAAGGCCTCGAGGGCGATGAACTTGCCGAAACCACTGCTCGCTGCGGTGACGAGCCAGGTTGGGGCTGACGATGACATTGTGCGTGTATATCACAAGGGGCCGTTGGGGGTGGTATGAGTGGTTAAGTGCTTTGGATTAGGGATCAGGTATGGTGTTTCTCGATGAGAATATATGGGGTTTATGAAAGTTTGGGATGTGAGTGTGTTTTCTTTCAGCTGAGGGAGGGGTAGTGATATATTTATACGAGGAATCCTACCTTACTCAACTCCCTTGTCTTTTCTCGTGTTCCGTGTACTCTCTGTACTTTGGGATGTCGCCGTGGTCGGGAGTATGGATCCATATCCAGACCAATTGAAGAGTCGGTCAATCGTTGATCAGATGAGGCATTTCTAGCTTGCGAATATATGACATGAAGCCAAGTACTCATAACTCCGTCCTGTCAGTAGCATAAGAATGCTTCTCTATGGACCCCTTTTACATGCCAAGTGGCCCTGGCTGGTGGAGTATCAAGCGGCCGCATCGGCCGCCCGATCGATATCTCATCTCATCCCACCTTGGTTTGCTGTAGGTATCTAGTGACTGAAATCTCCGAGCAAAACTTGTTGATTCAATTGCAACCATGCATTTGCCCGACCATCTCGGCGATAGCTTTCGGACTTCTTTTCACCTCTTCTCGCATAGTTCCAGCTGAAGCAAATGGTGCCGACGATGCTGGTGACGTCAATAGAGCCTAACGCCGATATTCCTCCGATGACTTTTTTCCGAAGAAAAAGGACACCACGTGATCTGGCGTTCCACACATGCACCAAACGCGTCTGAGCTTTTCCAAGTGCCAAACTTCACCTCCCTCCAGTACATTGTGCCATTATCATGGTTTGTCTCTTTCGTTCCTCTTGGTTTGTGTTGATCAATTCTTGATTCACGAACTTGAACTGGCACTTGCACTTCTTTGTAGCAGCGTCTATACAGATATAAATTCACGGCAGACGCGCGAATGTCTTTCTCAATTTCCCTTTGCGACTGCGACATGATCGTTCAGCCAGGTCGTGCGACTGAGTATCACCAATTGACAAATCACAATCGGTTGAGTTCATTGCGTGGCTCTCACGACTCAGAGAACCATGAGCCCTCAAGGTTTCAGATTCACTTGGCTTTGTGAGCTTCTCGAGACGCTTGATGCCGCTCGGAGAGAGCGGTGCCTTACCTCAAATCGAAATGTCAACCTCGATATCAAATATACTACAGATTGGTTCGACGAATACAATGGACTTATCCCTCGGCATGGACCGGCGGCCGTTGCCTTCTTGTCATGTCTCCTACCAGAACGCCTTCCGAAGCGGAGTTATAGTATGCAGGAGGCTTCCCTTGCCAATGTTTGGGCGAGGATTCGTCGATTGCCAGCTGCGTCCGTCAAGAGGCTGAAGGCGTGGAAGTCTGCAGAAACTGACTTGGCGACGACCATTGAACAAGTCTTTGCAGACTTTGACGACAACATCGACGTGTACAATGGTCCAGTTACTTTAGAGGAGATCGACCAAACTCTCTTCCAGCTTGCCGCCAATTCAGCGTTCTCCTCGCCAGAGATACGCAAATATCAAAACAATCAGACACATAGCGACGTCCTCGCCCCGGTTGTGCGACGATTGAAAAGTTCCGAAGCGAAGTGGTTCGTTCGCATGATTCTCAAACGTTATACCCCTGTACAACTACCGGAGCGCACCGTCCTGCGCTCTTTTCATTTCCTCCTTCCGCACATTATCGTGGTGCGAAATTCGATCGAGAGCGCTGTTGACGTTCTCACGCTAAAGGAACTGCAAGGGATACCGTCGAACCCGAGTCCCGCTGATGAGTCTTGGATTCTGAGACTATGTGCACATTACATCACTCCAGGGATAGGAGCCATGATCTCTCGGACACCATTTGTGAAAGCGAGAACCATCAAGCACTGTTGTAATGAGGCTCGAAATCGAATGATGAGTGTGGAACGCAAATACGACGGCGAATATTGCCAAGTCCACATTGACCTTACAAAAGAGCCTCCGTCACAAATCCAAATCTTTTCAAAAAGCGGCAAAGATTCTACGAGAGATCGAATACGTCTTCTGTCTGCCCTAAGGAAAGGTCTCAGGATTGGCGAGCCAGAATGCGCTTTTGCCAGAAACTGTATTGTGGAAGGCGAGCTTTTGGTCTACGATCGGTCAGCAAGATCCATCCTGCCTTTTCACACCATTCGAAAGCACATCCTGCATGGTGGAAAGCTTCTCGGAACCGACATGGACTCTCCTCGAAAACCCGATGAGCAACTCATGTTTGTCTTCTACGACATCCTATTCCTTGATGATACGGCGTTGAGCCAGAAGCCTCATCATGACCGAAGACAACGCCTTGAGCAGATCGTGCGAACCGAGGAAGGAGAATCCCAACTCGCGTACCGACAGGTCATCAACTTCAGGAGCAGTGACGCAAGACGTGGACTGCTAGATGTGTTCGCGCATGCTATTCGGCATAGATGGGAAGGACTCGTGCTCAAAGGTTGTGATGATCCATACTTTTCCTTCTTACACTCCCAAAGTGTAATCAAGCTCAAGAAGGATTACATCAAAGGATGTGGAGATGCGGTTGATCTTTGCATCATTGGTGGTCGACGAGACCCAAGCATCGTTGAAGAACTTCAACTCGGGTCGCTCTCATGGACAACATTCTACATCGCCTGCCTTGAGAACAAGGAGGAGGTGCGCCGATTTGATGTAAAACCCATCTTCCGCATACTACAGACTGTGTCTTCCCATGGTGTACCGAAAGAGGATATACTTCATCTCAATGCACAGGGCCAGATGCATCGAGTACCATTTGCGAATTCGATCGATCATTTTACGGTTTGGCCTGATTCCAAGGAAATGAAGGGTATGAGAGCCCCCTCGGAATTGTTCAAAGTGCCCTTTGTTGTTGAGGTCATGGGTGCTGGCTTTGAGCGTCCACAAGACGCCAGACATATGGTGCCACGATTTCCCCGAGTGATCAAAGTGCATTCTGATAGGCCGTTCACGGAGACCAGTTCTTTTGAGGAAGTGCAAAAGCATTCAGAGAATTAGATAGGGCGCTCACAGAAGGACTGGCGGTGGTCTCAGATACTGAATCCAAACGGGCATCTTTCCCATCAGCTGCAATCAACCGGGCTATCCAATCGGTCTCTTCTTTGATTTCCCGGGCCGAAATCGCTTCCATACTCTGTTCTGCTTCAAGTGGCTCAGACCATTGACACACCATGCAAGACACGACCTGCGTCGAGCATCGACAGAAGTCTCCAGAACGCCGAAAGCGATATATTACGCTCTGGAAGTAGGGTGGTTTCCACGAGTTCTGTCATGACATTCGGGCAGGGTCAACGCCGAAACATGGGTTCAGATACCAAAGCGCTTACTCTGCAAGAGTCGACTGCGATCGACGGACGAGGTCGAGAACGCGAGAGTTTGTCGAGCCCCTCTGCAAGGGATGGGGAAACAGTTCGCCCATCAAAACGAAAGCTGGTCGATATTGAACACTCTGATGAGAGCAGCCACAACGCGAGACGTGGCAAAGCGTTCTCAAGAGTCAACGATGCGTCTATCACACGATCGTTTGGTTCAAAGGACGGCTTCAACGAAAACACGGTCTCCTATTTGCGTCAGCACCCTAGCAGAACCATACAAACGGGGCAATCTGCTATACTCATCTTCGCTGATAGACCGAGACCGCATACCAGCCCCGTGGCTGGAAGTATAAGTCGACCAGTGTCTGCTATCAACAGCTTTCAAAACCATATCAGGGCCTTTGAACCTCCGCCCGTCTTTCGCCCTCCCTCGAGAAATCATAGAACTCGATATTCGCCCATCAGCCAGTCGACAATCATAACTCCGCCCACAGGTCGACAACGTCGTCCTCTTTCTGACTTGTCGGCCGGATCACCTCAACGTGGACGTGACGGGCTCCCCGTCAAGCTGACTCGAACTCCCTCGGACAAGGAGAATCCTGAAAAGTTACCGTCCTCCGGTAAGCACTCGGCAGGCGACATGACAGTTGATGGTGCAGTGGAGAACAGCCTCAATCACAACCGCGTTGCCGGGGCTGCGTCGAAGAAGGCTGGCAGTTCCCGTGCAGTTGAACAGCTTCTAGATCCCGCACCACAACGGGAATTCGATAAAGAGCCCGCGAGCCAGATTCAGCCCTCTCCTCGGATCCCCCAGCTTAGCATCAAGGATTTCGCTCGTTACACTCTATGTTCTCACTGGCCATCCGTTCAAAAGGAGCACGCTTTCCAAAATGGCTTTATTCCACGGCCAGCCAGTCAAAGCGAGCTCTTGATGGGCCGCTATGTACTCGTTCGTTTACTTGACTGCTCGGAACCAGAAGACATCGCGAAAGAGATCTACCAAGTTGCCCAGACGGTCTCTGTGCTACGGTCGCGGTTGATGCGTGGGTCGGGCAGACCAGGAAGTCAACCCAAGATTTCTTCTTGTTCTCGGGAGAAGATTGAGCAGAAACTTGTCATCTTCTACGGCATGCAAGCTCTGCCTTTGATGCCTACAGAGAATCATCCTTGCAAATGTGATGATGATTCGCAACTGTGTGAATTTTGTTTGCGACTGGTTGACTCACCACTACGTTACCACTTCAAGGGCGCGGTGCTCTTTTCGACTGGCGGGAGATTCTGTCCTCCAGAGATTTTGCATAGTTCTAGAGAGGGTTCCGGCACTACAAGACCAAGCTTATACGACAATGGCAGAAAGGACAAACTCGTGGCAGATGTCATTACGAATTGGCGGCAGGCTACGAGTCTCTTACGAAGCTTGCATTGTGATGATGGCGTGGTGTGACGAAAGGATTCGGTGTCCGTTTTGAGAAAATCATTTGCGAAGAATTTAGCGAGTATTACCATCGGCCTGCTTATGTTGAGAAGGGTAGGATGGGATTTGGTCAGAGGTGCAGGGTTACACTATTGCTAGCGTTTTGGGGAATTGCTATCTGGATACCGAGACACGACTTTGACGGTTGAGATTTGAATCATAGAGGGTCCTTTTGACCATTAGTGATGGATATAATTTTGGTTCGCAGACAATGTGTAAAGAATGAAGGTAAGTAAATGTAGAACAGGTTCGGTTAATTGAGAATCCTATGAGATCGATGGTTCTGACTTCGTCTGTCCTGTACAAGTATTGAAGCCTTGTGAGCTATACTAGAAGGAGAATTCGATATTCTTTATTGCCAATCTATTCAACGTGCCTGGTTCCGATATTTCGTGTCTGGTACTCGTATGGTTTTTCTGTTTTGGTATGCTCGGTAGTGAGTACTTACTATGAATTAAGTACTTGTCCGGTAATGTCGGCTATGAATGTTCGGCTCTCAAAATTGACATCCCATCTTGTACTCCGTAAGCCTCCCCCGATTTCCCATTGTCCTCGGTAGTCCTGAAATGTGGAGGAGGAGGAAGAACTATTGGAGACTCGAGGGAAAAGAAGAGGGATGACAACTAGTGACTTGAATTGTTGATGTCGACAAGGACGAGTAGTATTTATCGCGGGGAGACCAGTTTCAACATACAACATCTACTACGGAGTTATCTACTGAGGTTCAGATACCTCTCTACTCCAAAAAGTGAACGTTCGATTTGAGTAACGAGTGAGACGACTGCATTTTCAATACACCTACAGTGTCTCTATCCTGTTGAGAATCCTTTTTGCTTTTGAATTTGAACAACAAAATGTCACAACAACAACAACAACAACAAGTCGATCTAACAGGAAAAGGGGCAATTGTGACGGGAGGTGGTTCAGGTAAGATGACTCTTTTTTTCTTCATCTTTCCCCTACTCTGATATCTATGGTTTCCATCACTACGAGATGTCAATGATGCAAATTTATATATGACCCCTTTCAAAACCACAGAATGCTAACTTTGACAAACCATCATCGTCCGTCGGTCACAGGAATATGTCTCGCGTTTACAAAAGCGTTACACCAAGCAGGTTGTAACGTATTGATCTGTGATCTCACTTTACACCGTGAAGCACAGGCTTGGATCGACACGTTGAAACAAGACCAAAACGACAATAGCAAGTCGAGTCCACGGATAGCATTCACAAAGACCGACGTGAGTGATTGGCCACAACTCGAAAAGGCCTTTGATACGTACGAAAAGGAATTCGGTGGTGTGCCGTACGTCGTCTGTCCAGGGGCCGGCATTTATGAACCTGTACGTTTGCGATGCGAGGACTATGACTGATTACCTACCTAACCCCCCTTTTACCTTTTACCTACTATCTCCTACCCCTTTACTTTCTACCAACCAACGCCACTTTTCCCTTCATCCTTGTTTTCTCTTTTTTTCCTTCATCTCCTTGTTTGATCTCTACTGAATGATCATGTGTCCTTTTCTCTAGTCTGCCCCCAATTTTTGGAACGACAAGGACGACAGTAGTTACAAGATCCTTCGGATCAACCTGGATCACCCTCTGAAGATGTCCCGCATCGCCATCCGCCGTTGGGTCCAGACCGGCGTACGGGGCAACATCGTCCTGGTCTCGTCGACGGGCGCCCAAAAATCCAGCATCCTGACCCCCCTCTACGGGGCCGCGAAACAGGGAGTCTCCAACTTTGCCCGGGCCATGGCACCCCTCTACGACATGGAAGGCATCCGAGTCACGGCCGTGGCCCCCGGGCCGACCATGTCCCCTCTGATGTACGACCACCCCGAGGCCATCCGGTTCGTCGACCCCGACAAGGACAAGTTGTGTTCGACCGACGAGATCGCGAGGGGGATGATGGCGGTGGCCTTTGATGTTCCCAACAAAAACAAATACCCGCCAGGAACTGTATTGGAGGTCACCCACCCGGATCGATGGCGCGAGGTGTTTTTGTTGAACGACCCAGGTCCCGGACCCCACGCGTGGACCAGTAGGAAAAACGAGGCCATCGTCGACGTCGTCAAGGCTTTGGAGGAAGATAAGAAATCGGCCGGCAAGAAAAGGTGAAAGGAGTGCGCGGAAGTGGTAGAAAGGATGTTGGAGACAAACAGGAAACAGAAACAGAGTCAATTGTTTATCACTTCTGGTAAGAGGGTACCTCTCAAATCCATCGAGCGAGAGACCCACACCTACAGGGAATATAACAAGGACATGTATCTGTCTGATTTGACTCTGTATATTCTTCAATCCCTATAGCTTCTTCAATGAATTATATCATTTTGTCCCATGTATCGAATGGAATTACTTTTTAGTCCAAGCTCCAACATCTATGCCTTGAAAATCTCCATTCGTGTTATGATTTCTATACTGCGACCATGAAGTGTCTAAAGCTTTGGTCGTAGCTACGAGATGGAAGGAAAAACAACCACCGACCCACCCCGCATTGCGATTCTCGCATTTCTCTAGACAGATCCTTCATGTCCACGACAAAGCCCACACCAAAGTCCCAAAAGGAGAGCAAGTCCGAGGATCGGTCTATTATCACCAAGTATATCTGAAATCCGGGGATTCTTCGATCACCCTCTCACCCCTATCGGCTTGTCGATTCGCCTTGATCAACAGGGGACAAGTGATGATAGTCAGTGCCCCCGCCAGCAGTATCAGGGCCCCTGTGGCCACCAAGCCCGGGACATAATCAGGAGCGTCCTAATCATTCACGTCAGTCCTTGTCTGCTTCCTTTCGCTCGGTTGTGTGTGAAATGCAGTAGGTACATCGTGCTTCATTTTCGGTAGTCCGCGATATGGAGGGGGTAATCTCACCTGTTGTCGAAATACCAATGCGGAATAGATGCCTCCCACAGCAGCCATCATGACCTGTATGGCGGTGGTGACGCTTCTCTTGGCGTCGCTCCTGACGTTGTTCTGACCCCATGCGAGCCCTGTCACGATGAGCCCGTTCGTCCCACACTCACCCAAGAAAGACCCGACGTATCGCGGCGTAGGACGATTGAGAAACCCAATCATACACAGCCCCACAACCCCAAGAACACAGTGCATGAGGATGAACGGACCTCGGACGCGGTACTTGTCGGCGGCCCACGAGATCCCCAAGGCGTAAACGACGGCCAACGCCGCCGGTGGAGCCGTGAGACAGAACGAGAGCGATTGGGAATACCCCAGGCCATTGCGGAGGATGATGGGCAAGAAGAACAAAAATCCATATGTCCCGCATGAACCACTCATGTAGACGGTCGCTCTGTTGAATACAAGTTAGCATTTTGTCGCGTACGGCCCTTGACCAAGAATGAAAATGACGGGTTGTTTTCGATGAGAAGAGGGCGAGGACCAATAATACTCACATGCTCCACACTTGCCAATCCAACACAGTCTCCTTGATGACTTTCCAAGTCACCTTGCCACCCTCGGCGCTCCCTCTCTCCGCCAACAGTCTGTTCTTGACGACCTGCACCTCTTCCGGAGACAGGAACTTGTTCCGAGAACTTTCGGGGAAATCGACAATGACGAACCACGCCAATATCGAGATGCCTATGGTGATGGCCCCCTCGACGACGAATATCCACTTCCAACCGTCATTGACGGGATCAGACGCGATCTGGGTCAATCCGTAGGCCAAGATGTTGGAGAAGGAGGAAAGGAAAGAGGCCGTCATGAAAAAGACTGCGATTCTGTATCATCGTCAGTGACTGGTGCATGTCTCTCTATACGAAAGAATCGTGTACGTACCTCTTTTGTACCTCGTAACGCCGGTACCATGCCGATATCAAATAAACGCATCCTGGAAACAATCCCTAACATTATGAGAAAAAAGGGGGCGTCAGTTCCAAGAGAGCATGGTACTCTTGTGAGACTCAAGACATGAACTTACGGCTTCCAAAATACCAAGCATGGCTCTGAGCGCCGCGACGGTCTCCCAATTCTTGCTTAACCCTATCCCCAACGAGATGAGACCCCATGCCACACCTAGGAATGACAACCAGTTTGCAGCACCAAGTTTTTTCAGGACCTGTACAGAGGGAAGGAGTTAACATCATCTCTCTCGTGTGCATGAGCGGCATTCAAGACTTCTCGAAAACCACTCACCAGGTTAGAAGGCAGCTCGAAAATCACGTATCCGACGTAAAAGACTAGAACTATCACGGGCGGTCAGTACCTTCCGGGGGTCGTCGTGGAGTGAACGAGGGAAAAAAGGACTCACTGATGATAGAAGCTCGGTTACCGACGTCGAGGTCGACCGTCTGATCGAGACCCGAGATTCGAGCTCCCCCGACATTGGTCCGATCGATCAATGAGAAGGTGTACATGGACCCTAACATGGGTAGGAGCCTGATATCGATCTTGCGTCTTGAGGGATTCGGTCAGCTGAAGAGCTGTACACTAAAGACCCCTCCCTCGGGGAGTCAATGTAACATTACATACTTGATACGTCTCTCGGTCTGTGGGTCAATGGCAAGCTCTTGTTGAGAAACAACCTCATGGCCTCCCTCGCGATTGTCAACCACGGACTTTTCTTGGAACTCCATGTGCGCAGTATTGGATTTGGGGTTTTGGTCGATGTGTGTTGCAGACATTATGTGTTATGACTTGGACATGACACCGCTGTTAGGGGTTTCCGGCTTTGGGGAGGGGGGCAATGGAATATCACTCGACCAGGGAGAGATGTGTCTGGATCGTCCCGCAGTCTCTTATTATATTGCCAGAAGAGGTTGACAAACATCTTTTGTTGTTGGAACGATATGATGTGGAGATCGAGATACATATGCGGTCCGGCTATATTGCTTCGGCTGTGTAGATACTTTAGTACAATATCGATGCCTTTGATATAGTAATGCTCCTCGTACTCGTGGAAAACTGAGGAATCCCCAGGTACCCCGTAAACGCTGAAGAATCCTTCCCCCCCCCATGGGTAAGCAATGCGGAGTAAAAGATCCATGCCGTCCGTATGAGACTGGCTAGTGTGGTGTTGTTCAAGACGGTCTCCTCGACGAGACGTAAAGTTGACTTGGCGTCCGGCAAAAGCGGTTGACAAGGCCATTGATTCCGGCAATAGACCTCGACCAGGGTACGAGTTATTGGTAAGGCTTTGCAAAGTACCAGAGCGTCATTCCTCAAAACGACTAGGCTCGAGTGATTGACCACCTTCCCCAAGTCCTCCTACTGGTGAGTTACATCATGTTGGTTGGAGAGAATCGAACCTCTCACACAGCCTTGCGATGCGGGGGATGAGGAACGACATTTCGTAACCGAAGGGGGGTGGGTCTTGGGCTGTCCCTCTCTCTTCTTCATGGATAAGATGAATTCGAGTCTTACAGTAAGCGTAAGTCGTAGTTGTGTTGAAACCAGCTCTCTCGCAGACAAGCTACAATTGTTCGAGTTGACCTTTTGGTTTACTCCATCATTTAAGATCATCGATTGAAACTGCCGCGAAAATGGTGACTACCAAGCGTTTCTCGGTCCCATCTGGTGCCGTCGCGAGGGTGAGGATCATCAATTCGACCACCAAAATCAATGGACTTCCCACAGACTACCTCATGACACCTCCAATGCCAGGCATGGAATTCATGCCCGAGATCCCTACTTGGTCATTTCTCGTCGAGAGCACCACCGGCAAGAAGGCATTGTTTGATCTCGGGGTGCCACCAAATTGGCGTGACTTTTCTCCGGTCGTTGTCGATGGCCTGGTCAAACGAGGTTGGGAAATCTCTGGCGATAAGCATGTTGCCGACATTATCAAAGAAGAGGGACTGGATCCGTCACAAATTAACAGTATTGTGTGGAGGTACGTTGTCCCTCAACGTTTCAGTCTGCTCAATTGGTAACATACACAAAGCCACTGGCATTGGGACCATCTGGGAGACCCATCGACTTTTCCCTCGTCTACCGAGCTAGTGGTAGGTCCAGGTTTCAAAGAGGCCTTCTTTCCGGGATACCCGGCGAAGAAAGACTCGCCGGTCCGTGAAAGTGATTTCAGGTCAGCCCAATTTGTCTTTGCCCAGATTTCTGACTGATCATGTTCCAGAGGTCGACATGTGCGGGAGATCAGTTTTGAGGACAAGGGCGTCCTCCAGATAGGTCAATTCAGGGCATTCGATCTCTTCGGAGACGGGTCTTTCTACTTGCTTGATACACCGGGCCACGCCGTGGGACACTTGGCGGGCCTCGCCAGAACGACCCCCGACACTTTTATCATGATGGGTGGTGATTTGTGCCACCATGCAGGTGAATTGCGACCTTCCGAGCTATTGCCTCTGCCCTCGGAGATCCGATTAGAGGCCCTGAGTCACTACCGCGGTGGTGTCTGCCCCGGAGCCGATTTTGAGCAGGTTCAGAAATCTCGAGCGAGAGGTCCAACTCAGACTTTCTTTGATCCGAACATGGGGCTGGACATACCCGAGGCTCTTCGTACCATCAAGAAGGTTCAAGAGGCAGATGCCGAGGACAATGTCCTATTCATCTACGCTCACGATGGTACTATCAAGGGCGTGATGGACTTTTTTCCAGCTGAAGCAAATGAGTGGAAGGCCAAGGGGGTACGCCAGAAGGTTTACTGGAGGTTCCTCGAAGATTTCAAAGGTGCCTTGACAGGTTAGGAACGGGCTTACGCCGGCGAGGGTCATTGTGCCTATAAAATTCTTCCCATAATCTTCATAGCATTAACGAATCAAAACTAACATCTTCAAATGGCTGATCGAACAAGTCATGCAACTGCATGGTCAAGTCGTTAGCCCACGCTGCGCCCATGAATATGTTTGGAGGATTTTCTGTGAGAAGTATCTCGAAGAGCTGACTCGTCTCGATTGTTGCCGTCGGGAAGAAATCCAGATAGTTGACAACATCAACTCCGGCCAAGTCATCTATTGCTTCAGAGCCAACACTGGTCACAAGTGGCGCACTTGTGGTAGCTCGACTATTTGGAGGTTGTGGTCCATTTAGAAGCTTTTCGAACCCAAGCAGAAACATTTTTGAAGAATGCCAAAGCTTTGACGTCTCTTTCAACGCGAGATAAAGAATCTCAATCTGCTCGCTTGCGCCGGCCTTCAACCGATCAACTTGACGAGCATGAAGGAGTGCAAGGATGGCAATGCTGATGCACCATCCTGACACTCCCGGCAGAAACCGAATGTGTCCCCTGGCAAGATAGTCTTCGAAAATGCGAGCTACACATGAAGCAGATAGTATAGCAGCCGTGTATGCCTTCGGAAGTGGTTGGGCCGATGGTGTCATGTAGAGCAAAGTGATTGCGGCCAGGTAGGGAAGATGAAGTTGGTATAAATGTCGATCGAAATGAGTACTCTGGGAAGCAGTAAATGGTAGTTGAAGATGATCCGGCAGTGCGTGAACCCAGTCGATTAGTCGTTGGGCAAGGTCGATTGGGAAATCGGTAGATTCGTTGCGATTGACCAAGTACTTTGAGACATCTCCAACGATAGCGCATACTTTGACCCAATTGGTGAAGAGTATCGCTTGAGAGCTCCTGTTTTCAGGGAAGTCCTCAATGGTGGGTAGTCTGACATTGCAATCTTCTGGATGTATGATACACGGGCGACCTTGACATATGGCAGTCATGCGTTCTCTTGCCTGTAGGTCTAGTTGATATGGGAATTGCTGTTCACGATCAGAGTAATACTTACGAATAAAGTCCACCAAACAAGTCTTCTTAAGCTGGCCGTCTCTCCAGGTCTGAAGACGTGGCCAGCTGAAACTTCGCGATGTAATCCAATCTCTTGAGCCAGTCTGACTGCAACTGAATTCCACCAGTACTGGCTGTCCATACTAACCAAATTTGGTGGTCCAGCGCTCCACCAGTAGACTAGAGTGATTGCAACGATCCGAACGAGGGAATTCTTTTCGTAGTTGCTATAGAATAGTGTTTTCATACGTTCGTAATATGTCTGCGGAGAAGCGTGTTGCAACATTGGAGGATTGATTATGGTTCCCAGAAGAGCCAATGCCTGTTGAAGCAGGATTGAGTCCGCAAACGGACTTTGAGATATCAGATCCTGCTTTTCTAGGATCGGGCACCACGGGAAACAGAATTCGAGATAGGTCTCTGCATAGCTTTGTCGAAGGATGCGTGCAATGGACAGAGAAGAGGCGTCAGAATCGTCTGGGCCTGAATGAACCAGGTTTGGTTGGGCGCGTTGGCTGAAGATTGGCATGAAACCAGATTGGCCCAGATAGCCCTGCTCCGGGGTGTCGATATTCATTGACTGAGGAAGTAAGGTAGGCGACGTTTGGGTGTTGCGCTCAGTGTCATATGTCTCTCCATCACGCATCGGAGTTTCTTGCAGAAGCGACAGAGAATCCTTCTTGTCTTGAGCAGAAGCTAGTTGTAATGATCGTCCGTGGAATCGTGCATCATGTGCATCAAATGCAACGTCCGTGGCTTCTCCGTTGTTCCTCCTTTTCCGATGACCTTTGCGCCTCGAAGGGCGGATTCTGGCAATATGAGCCCAGCAGCATGTAAGCGATGACAGAAAAATTTACCTGCAGGTCTCCTGAGCATACACGCATTGAGTACAACCCCAGGCGTGTCTCTGGCTAGAAACATCACACTTGATCTGGTGAATGTAAGTCAGAGAGAATCCGGCATCAAAAGGTACCAATGCACAAACTCACCTTCTTCTCATGACAACGAATACAGACCAAATTCGCCCTCCGCCGGATCGGAGGAGGTGAGTTCATGGCAATACGATCAAATTGCCTTTCATCTCCGACAAATACATGCTTCAAGAGTCAAGTAGTTTCAAGTAGCCGCCATAACCGATAGAATTTAATAGAAGGGGCGTTCTCGGCTAAATCGGTAGTGTGAAATTGAAACGCGGAGAGGTTGGAGAGTAATACGGGTACGAGTACGAGTACGAATCTGCCATTGACCGACGATGCCATACCATCTTGGTAACTCGTAGGACAGTACTTGCTGATAGCAGACTAGATAACATACGCTACATATCTGGACTATCTCGATTTTTACTTCTAGAATAGCCAAGATACAAAGGTTCTGTAAAACCAGTTGGCACCCCGTTTACCTCCTTTTTCTGCCTGTTTGGCACGCTTCGCTGCTAAGAACTCCTCTTCCTCGCGATCGATAATGTCCTTGCCGGTCCATAAGTCCGCCTCATGAGGCTTGAGGCCTTTGCTCTTTGTCCACAGCTTGTACCCAAAGATGAGGATCAGATACAAAGGGATCCCCAAGTATCCAGTTATGAAATTCTTGTAATCAAAGTTGCCATAATCATCGGAATGGACAAAGACGTTGAAATTCTTGGTGATTGCGATGAGGATACACAGAGACAAAGCTCCATAAGACCCGGCTACCCCAAGGGGGGTCCTGAATGCGAGGGCCGTATCAGGGACATTTTGTGCCCGGCGTGCTCGAACATAATATATATGTGTGACGAGGATGGAAATCCAGGTGAGCAGTCCGAAGATGGTGGTAAGATTGACGAAGTAGGAAAAGACTGTTTTTGAGTCATCCGAGACATTCATAAAGGCCAAGAGAGCAAAGGCTGCCGACAAGCCCAGAGCGTAGAGAGGCACGCCGCGTTTGTCAGTTCGCCGGAACAAGGCTGGTGCTTTTCCTTCACTTGCCAGACCATATAACGTCCGACTGGCGATGTAAAGGTCAGAATTGGAAGCCGAGAAGACGAACAACAGGATGCAGGCGTTGACGATGCCAGGAAGAGCTTTTATGCCTGCAAGTTTGATGGCGACGACAAATGGAGATGCGGAAGCCGAGCTGGAAGCCTTGGTGGCAAAAGCTAGCTCCTTAGAGTTGTAGGGGACAAGCATACCCAGCAAGAGAACCGATAAGCAATAAAAGATCACAATTCGATAGAAGGTGAGCTTGATGGCGCGCGGGATGTTTTTCCTCGGATTCTGGCACTCCCCAACAGTAACGCCGACCAATTCCGTGCCCAGATAGGCGAATGTCGCTGTCACCATCGTTGACCAGAATGCGAGGAATCGACCGGTCGCTCCGGTGTCGATATATTCTGCAAATGCGCCTGGGTCACTCCAATATCTGTAACTCATGAGCCTTTTGGAACCAGTGTATTGGTACCGATTATTCCACATACCGGAATCCTTTACGGTCGTGGTCAGGTCCTCCTCCCAAGGCCAGAACCAAGGACAAGATGATCAATCCAATGACCACGATGACTTTGAAGGTTGAGAGCCAGAATTCAAATTCGCCGAAAAAGCTGCAAATAGTCAGAAGAGGAACAGATTGCGGCAATGGCGGGGATGCTGGAACAAGAGCTGATTATGTTCGCCGATCGAACTTACCGGATACCGAAGTAGTTGATAGAGACAATTGCGATCCAGAAGACGGCGATGAACACCCCGGGATTGACTTGATCGCGGTCGACCCAGTATTGTATGACGAGCGAGCCGGCCGTCAACTGATTTGGCGTGACAATGATGTATTTGAACCAGTAGGTGTAACTAGACCCCAAACATTAGATTCAACGTGGGACAGTCAAGGACAGTGAAACACCATACCCGAGAGCGAAGCCGAGAGCAGGATCGCAAAAGCGAGTTGCATAGCCAGTGAAACCGGAAGGCAGTGGAAGCCAGGCGGCCATTTCACCAAGAGCGCACATGACCAGGTATACAATGAATCCGACAACGGTATATGAAATGAAGATTGAACCAGGGCCTGCGCGAGCGAGTGCTTGGCCGGTACCAATGATCAATCCAGTGCCTGAAATGGAGAAACGTCAGAAACAATTCCCACGGACAGAATATTGACGTTTGACTGACCGATAGCACCACCGATAGCAATCATTGTGATGTGACGAGCTTTGAGACCTCGATGGAGTCGCGAGCCATCTTCGAACTGGGCGGCTCGGATGTCAGTGCCATCGATGGGGGAGAGCGTTCGCTGTTGGGCATGGTAATCTGGTTTCTCGGTCCCATCGGAGGGTGAAGGGCTGTCTGTGTGATAGCCGGCCATTTTTTCACCGCACAAGGGCCAAGCAGTAGCAAGGTAAGAACCTGGGGAGACTGAACACAACTAGATCGTGACAGGAGAGGAGAAACATGGTAGTACTTATCATTCGCGAAAGCGGTTGCAGATTTCGCCTGACGGTAGGGAAACATCATTCTGTCCCCAGTAAATCGACTCCCATCTGGGTTACACTGCATCATCATGACCCCAGCAAGTGACATGAGAGGCTGACCTGAGGGAAAGATCGTGTAGCACGTTGATTGTTATCATCCCAGTGCGGACAATGCGACGTCAATGGCTCGTCTGAAGAAGCGAAGCATAGGCCAAGAAGTGGAAAGGGTATGAATGATGGCACCCAAGACTTTTCCAAGAATCCATCAACGAGTGGAACAAGATAAGCCATAGGCCGAGATGCAGATGAGGGTGGAAATGATGCAGTCCAAGACTCCAGCGGCGGAGACCCAAGACCATCAAAGAGTTAAGAATGCCGGCCAAGAAGGGCGGAGTCGGGTATACAGAGGCGACCTGAACAAGTACACAAGGCAATAATGAGGCAGACTTTTCATATGCTTGCAGTCGGCGGGGGAAGACAAGTCATTTTCGCTCCATAAACGAAGGAGGAATGTCCAGTCTGGGAATTTTTAACCAGCCCTGATGGTCCAGGCTTTGTAGCCTGTAAGAGGAGTACGAATATCGTTGAGTACTCCATCTTGACCCCCCCAAGCCTCAGATCCTTGTCGATGAAGTAGTAATGCCAAGTCACAGATCGACACAGAGCCGAGAACATGTTCGAGATGGCAGAGATAAGGCGTGGTCCTCATACGGGTAATGAGCAGCATCTGCATTCTTGACACAAGCAGGGCAGTGTGTATCCCGATGTTCTCACATATGTTGCGTAATAAGTCACAGGACGGCGATGTTATGATTTGCACAGCTGAAGGCGGAAAGAAATATCTCGGGCCATTGAGGGCTCGATTATCCGGTAGTAGCCGTGAGTGACCGTAATTATCATTATTTGAAGATCAAGTAAAAAGGAAGAACTCAATGAATAGATACAATGTTCTCGAGATGTTATCTGTCGGAACATGATCTAATCACCAAAGAATGAATCCCACAAGGACGAAATGAATCCTCCCCCTTCGCCCCCATCCGCAGGTCCCTGTCCAGCTCCATCACTCCAGGGGTCTGAGCCCTGTCCCCAGACATCGCCTGCTTCATTTTCAGGACCAGGTTCGGCTGGAGGAGGTTGTGGTGAGTCAAGGGTCTGGTCGTGTGCTGGAGACTCACCAGACTGGCTTTGCGGAGACTGGGACCCATAGGGTCCGCCATAAGGTTGCTCCTGGGGGCTTGCATTCTCTGAATCAGCCTGTGAACCTCTTCCCAGACCCCTCTGCATTGCCTCGTAGCCTGCCATGGTACCAGCGCCTGCTATTGCGCCTTCACCAACGCCGCCTGCGGCCGAGCCTACACCTACAGCCCGTCCGGCTCCGCCGACAACTGCGCCACCGGCAGCCTCCCCAGCGCCAGCAGCACCACCGGCAGCACCACCGGCAGCTTCTCCTCCTCCCATCCATAAAGGAAGAAAGCCACCGGAACCCCCGACTGAACTGTGACGTGAGAAATAATCGTAGTCCAGTGTCACTGCAGTAGCAAGTAAACAAGCTCGCTCATCAAGAGTCATGCCGGTCACACCACTCTTGTTTCCCAATGTCTCAGCATAAGCACGAGGCTTGTTCTCCGACTGCATGGCCAGATCGACCTGATGTGTATCCGTTTCCGACCCGGCAGCGTCCATGCGTAGTACATAACTCCCGGTGTCTGTGAAAATCTCTCGACCAAATCCACGAAAAGACCGGTTCACGGAGCCAATCAAGCGAGAATTCTGGTCAAAAAGCGAGAAATCCCAGGATAGGAAGGGCTCGTTGATAGAAGCAAATTGGCGGGGGAACGTGCCTTCCGGGCCAGCAGCGTCGTCAGGATGCACAAATAGATTGTACTTACGTCGTAAAAGGGCCCATTCGGACACAGCTTCACCAACGACCCGCATGGAATCGAGGGGAACATGAGAAATCTGTTGAAGGCTGTTCAATGTGTCCGAAACTGACGGATTTTGCAGTATATGCGACGATTGTGCCGAGATAACTTGCGGCGTGAGAGCATCATATACGCGAATATGTGTGACAAACCAAGAGAACGGCCGGTGAAATCTCAAAACCTCCGTTCCATGCTTGTCAAAGACATGAGTCGTGAAAGCACGATGTGTTCTAAGCCATTGTCTGGCCATAACCTTTCCGAGACCGCCGTCATGCTCCGCCATGTAGCCAATATGAGCGCCATTGGGGTCCAAAATGACATATCGATTGGCCTGTTCAAAACCTAGGAATAGGTTCATCATCTCAATCTGCCTCTGTACGACAATTCCCGGTTGGGCAAGGATATTTGAAGAGGGATGGTCTGATTTCAGAATGGCGTTCGGGTCTTCTGCGACATGGACTGGTGCGAGGAGGGAGTTGTCTTCAGGACGGGTCTGGGACAGGAGGGTTTCCATCGAGGGAGAGGCTGGTGTCGCATTATCTCCTCTTGGAGGGTCGGAGCCATGTTGGCTTGCTGGAGAGGGTCGCTCTTGACTCAAGCGAGCGGACGTTGAGAGAGGTTGACGATTACATCTGAACAGCTTCCTCGAGCGTAGGACAGTAAAGCATCGCGGAGACGACTCGAGTGAAGCACAGACCGGCTTGAATGTGTACAGCAGCGCAGAGGTGCTTTTCTGCATTTGAATGTGTCACAGAAAGGATGGTTCCGGGAATGGCAATCAATTGTAAAGCAGCCTTGCGTTGATAACAAGAATGACAACGAAGACTCCACGACTCGGAACGCAATTTATGGGACGTAAATGCAGAAATTCAACCTCTGGTAGCTTTGTCACGACAAGAAGAGACTCGTTGGGTCTATACTTGATGATTTCATTGTACAAGGAAGAGTGGGCTGCGCACGCAGTTTCTATGCTCGGCCAACCTGCCTTTCCATTGAGATTACTTGAGCACATACTAGGTACTGTTGGTATGGGACGCATTAGATGCCTAAGGTACTGTTTGAGTGAAGGGCAATGAGTTGGAAGTCACATCAATGCTCCTGTTGATCCATGCATCGTCTTTCTACTGTACAGGATGCAATGCGAAGTCGCAATTACATAAATGCTGCGCTACCCGGGTCGTTGAGAGCAGTGTCATCACACTCTCTACTGTACATACAGTAGGTATGTACTCCGAACTGCACAGTAGCTCTCCTACCCTGCGGCCCGGAGGATCCTGACGAACCTAGATATCCAAGACCATCCCCGACGAGTATAAGTACGAGTGGTGTTTTGAGAGCCCAATGCTCCTTGTGGCTGATGGTCCGGCCCCGGACGGCTCATTGTCTGGATTGAGCCTACTTTGATAGCCTGGAATATGAACATTTTCAATGTTTACTGCACTGTAATCTTTGACTGCATTCACCACAAGATGTCCCCAGCTCGATTGTATGTACCGTTGCAGCCACCTTGGTTGGGCCATCGAATGCATCAATTCTCCCCCTCGTCGCGCCAGATTTACAGTAATTACGAGTACTCCGTCCAGTACAGCTCCGTTTTGTCGATCACGATAAGGATGTGGTATAGCTAGTGGCACCACTGAACCAGAGGGTGATCCACCTCTGCGAGCTTGCGTAGGCTTCCCAATTCGAATCGAAAGACGAAAGCCGGAAGAAACAAGCTTACTGACTGAGTAGTGGCCACTAAGTATGTTTTCGAGGGCGACGCCGAGCAAGGGTTCCTTGCATAAAGACTTGCCAATACGGAATACAAGGCGCAAAACATTCGCAAGGCAACGCGATACAACCCAGAGATTGCGGTCGGACTAATAACTCCAAGGATGCAATATGCGGTCTCTTCAACCAAACGACCTCGATGGCTCTCCTTGAACCTCCTTCTGTTCTCCGGCAATCAGGACTACATGACAACTCCGTACTCGGTACTAGGGACAGTGTCTTTATATCCTGTTTCTGAGCGCGGCGTGCTTATGCTACCTGAACATGAAATGATTAGACTAGCCGGCCCCACACTAAACTCGGCTAAGAGTTTCAGCGCAAGCGAAGATCAGAAAACATGGCCGACTTTCGAATACAATAGTTCCTCACACCACGGACTACTCTGGTCGGAATCCCACTTATGCAAGGGCATGATCTCGCTTCTTACAGTATGCACAATAAAGACTTGGTCCACGTGAAGGGTGTCGAGAGCAACTGCCGAGGACGCGCTGCCATTCTGGGGATACCACAACATCGATGAGACATTCCATATCACCATTTCTCAACGCTCATTTGGTCTCTAGTCCTCTCGGTGGCCTCTGCTTGACCTTTGGGTACCTATTGGGACCTTCTTCACATTTTCAACATGTCTCTATGCCGCGGACGATATGCGTCTGCCGTTTTGGCACTGGCCCTAGGTGCTATCTCAACTTCCACAGCCTCGCCTACAGGTTCCGGCACCAATGAAGCATCCAGTACACTCAACAGCTCATCGCAACAGTTTGACTATGTGATTGTTGGAGGAGGGCTGTCCGGTCTTGTCGTCGCCAATCGCCTGTCCGAGAACAGCAAAGGTTCGAATCAGGTGTTTTCGGATTCTCGTGACTTTGCTGAATATTATCTAGTGTCAGTTCTCGTTCTCGAGTTTGGACCTTTCGATAGAAGCAATCAGACTCTCTGGCCAGCCAATGCTGTTCTCATCAATCAGAGAGATATGTTCAACATTACCTCAGCGCCAGAGCCAGGCATGGCTGGTCATACGTACCCTGTCCTTGCAGGTGCAGTGCCTGGCGGAGGATCGACGGTAAATGGGATGGAATTCGATAGAGGGTCGAGCTGTGACTATGATTTTGAGGCGCTCGGAAATTCTGGATGGAACTGGAACGGTCTTTTTCCCTATTTCAAAAAGGTAAGGGGGGCGTGATATGGTAGGAACTTTCGTTGATGACAAACCAGAGTACGGACTTCACGCCACCTTCACCAGCTGTCGAAGCGGTATACAATTACACTTGGAATGAGGCTGCTTATGGGAACGGTCCTTTGCAAGCCTCTTTTCCGGATTTCGAGTACCCTGACAACTTCCCTTTTTTTGGTGCTTTTGAGGAACAAGGCGTTCCCTTCATCAAGGAGCATGCCCTCGGCAATGCCACTGGTGTTTTTTTCACGCCAGCTTCCGAAGATCCTAAGAAGAAGACCAGGTCATCGTCCCTCAATGCATATTACGATCCTGTCTCCAGCCGCAAGAACTTGAAAATGTTGGCTCAGTACCAGGTAACCGAGGTAGTCTTGGATCACAACCTTACCGCCCAAGGTGTCAAAGCAACAGACAGGACAAATGGCAAACAGTATCAATTCATGGCCAGGAAGGAGGTGATTCTCGCAGCAGGCGGTGTCCATACCCCACAGGTGCTGCAACTCAGTGGTGTTGGGCCCAAAGATGTTCTGACTGCCGCTGGCGTCAACGTCAAGCTTGATTTCCCTGCGGTTGGAAGCAATTTTCAGGACCACCCTACAGCGTATCTCAACTGGAATGGTAAGTCGAATGCCGCAAGCCAAATAGCAGAGGGACATATGCTGACAAGAATCTAGTAACCAACAGATTTCCTTACCCTGGCATACTCCAGGAGAATGCCACGTACAATACGGAGGCACTCGCTTTGTACCTCAACAACCTGACTGGTCCTTACACCAAGGCTCAAGCCAACAGCGCCGGCTTCCTGTCTCTGGACATGATCACCAAAGATGGAAGTTCGATGGTTTCATCGCTCTTGGCTCAAGAACCTGGTCAATATTTGCCTCCGATCTACAGCAACAATCGGCAGTTGATGGCGGGCTACCTCGCGCAGCGTAAACTTCTCGCCTCCCAGATCGAGACAGGCAGTGTGGCCATCATGGAGCTACCATTTACAGGATCAGGGTCAATCCCAAACGCAATTCAGAAGCCGCTCAGCAGAGGCACGGTGTACCTGAACGCTAGTGACCCGCACGGGGAGCCCGTCGTCACATATTACGCGTTTACTAACCCCTTCGACAAGGAAATACTTGGCAAAATGGTCAATTTCACTCGCCGAATCATGGCCAGCGACGCGCTGGCTTATCTGAACCCTATCGAGACCACTCCTGGACCGCAGTTCCAAACCGAGGATGAAATCTTCAACCAGCTGTTGACGGCCCAGTCACCATTCGGAGCGGCCTTGGGCCCAACATTTGCTCACCCGAGTTGTTCTTGCCCGATGATGCCACATGATCTCGGAGGTGTGGTCAGCCCGGAGTTACTCGTGTACGGCACAAAGAAGCTCAGTATCGTGGACTGCTCGATTTTGCCGGTCATTCCCGCGGCGCATCTGCAGGCGACGATGTATGCGGTGGCGGAAAAGGCAGCCGACATAATCAAGAAGCGTTCTTGAGTGCGTCGTGTGAAAGACAAGGGTCAAGATGTATACAATATCATAGTCTTCACTCTCATCACCATAAAGTCGTCCATCACCCATGTCCAAGTCCTACTTTTGTTTCACCAGTCCAAATCTTGATTCACAGAGTCTCGAAAGAAGAACTGCTCATTCATCTTCGGCGAAGTTCTTCATTCACCAACTCTGCTCGTCAACTGGAAGCTTTACCTGATCCTTCCCGAGTCTTCACTTGACCCGGACTACTACAAGTTCACAGTATACGCTTGTATCAGCTTCACAAGTATACATATAATTGTCTCAGCTTCACAGGATACATACAATTGGCTCAACTCCACAGTGTACAATTGTCTCAGCTTCACTGTAGATCCACACCCTAAAAGTGAAAGCTACTGCACCAAACTTCAAAGACCTCGAAACAAATTCAATGACTCCCAAAATGTGCATATATAAAGCCCCCGCCAACCTTCAAATCTCTGACTTCTCTCGATCTCCGGCCACAAGTTCTCCACTTGTCAAACCTTCCTCCGATTGATCCAAAGGATGGTGTGGCCCTTGACACGTTGAGCATAGCTCTCTCTCTCTCTCTCTCTCTCTATATATATAGTCTTGCAAAAGCAGCTGAGGAAACCTCTCCTGTTTGTCTCATTATGCTATCAAGGTACGCAGTAACAAATCCATACAGCAAAGCTACTTGCTAATGATCGTTGAAGATGTCATTTATTGTTACACCTGCATCAGGTGACCGGATCGACTATGACTCATGAGGACATGAGTATCTTTCTTTCCCTGGGGGGGTTGGGGGGCAAGTTGTTACACCTGCATCAGGTGTAACAATTATCGTCAGCGAGAACGAAGTCGATCTTGTGTCATTCAACCTTGGTTCAGACGAGAGCCCTGGGCTTCTCATGGTCAATCTTAACATCAATCAGGTCGTTTTAGACCCTCACGCCCAAGTCCTTTGGAAACAAACAATAGTTCGACTCCGCATTGTACACACGGGCTACGGCCCAGATCGACTCCGAATCTGCTACAATTGGAACACCTGGCTGGCAAGGAGCGGCTTATTCAGCGAAGACATCGATCAGAAGATACGAAATGCCGCGCAGCAATACATCAAGGATAGAGTCAAAGAGTGGCCCGTTGCGTTCAGGAAGCTCGGAGCATGGACGAACTCGGAAGGTGGCGTCTTTTGCAGACTCTGCGGTCTCATGGAGCCAGAATGGCGAGGGGGATTCCTGGTCAAATTTACAGATTGGGCATTACAACAATCAAGCCCGGCAGAATGGAATGGAAAGCTTGTGGCGCCGGCGGATGCCTACTGTGATGAACACCTGTGTCAAGTTATTGAGGCATCAAGGAACGAGCAGAACTTCAGTGCTGCTGAGTGGCATGTTGTTCAGCCAGTATTGGATGATCTGACTGTTCATATGACATAAAGAATGAAAACAGGCTTCTTGAAAGTCTTCATAAAAACAGCAAGGCCAGGAACCCATCTAAAGTTCTGATGCTCTGTCCTTTCAAGCAAGCCCAATCCTCGAAAGCCGTTCCTTCTGTTCCTTCCATGGCTACCAAACCATCCTGTCATTGTCTCATCTCTCTCAGAATTTCAGTCATTTTCAGCCTTGTTCAATAGCCAGTTTTCTCGCTTCAGGAATTGGCGACTCTGCGATACAGGATAGCAACCTTGCCATTTGCAGCTGTGAGTACTGTAGTATCAAAACGATCTCGCTTCAAGCGCTTCAAACTGATGATGCTCTTGCACAAAATCCTCGTGTCATACTCACTTGACACCTTGACGACCCTACGACACAGAATTTCAACATTATCAATTGCAGCCGTGAGTGCCCGCCTTTTGTCAAGCAGGCCCTGCCTCAAGCACTTCAAACTGATCATTCTCTTGTATAGAATCCTCGTCTCGCTTTTTGGAGCCGCTATCCTTCCTCGTCGAAGTCGCTCTGCTTCCTCCTTAACATCTCTGCCTTACTCTTCAAAGTCGCTATCCTCGTGCGACAAGATCACTGTTTCGTTTAGATTTCTGGCCTTCAATTATTCTCTTCGCACTTCTCTGTATCCTCTTTATCAAGATCATTACAATGCCTCTCCAACGTCGTCAGCGAGTGGCTCTCAGTGAGCAGGGTAGCTCATCAGATGAATATCACGAGTCATCGGCAGACGAGGCCTACTCAGAGCCTGAATCAATGCTTACTCAACGTGCATCAAGAAAGCAATCCATACCTCGGGGCTTTCGGTTTCTCACACGGATTTATTCATTGGAGCACCAACGTTCGATATGGGAGGGTGAGTGGAAAGTTACAAATCATCAATTGGTAGGGTCTTTCAACTGTACTATTTATCTTCTGTTTGCTAAACAAGGTCTGAAATATCACACCGCCTCATGCCCGACGTCTTGATCATGATGGTGTTTAGCATGCAATTCTTCAACGGGAGCATCAACACGATAATCCATCAGGGTGCGTAGATCTGCCAGGAAGTAGCAGAGCAATACTGCGACCGCTGACACAGGGGCCGCAATGATGAAGACGAGGCGTAGAGAATCAGCCGATGCTTGCTTCACAGCAGCGACGGCGGCAGCGAGGACCGATGGTGTTACTCCAGCAATCTTGCCCAGCGCGGCACTATCTTTACCCAGGAATGCCTGGACAAATTCTGGCACCAAAGTCCCAGAAACCCCGTTCTTAACAGCCGCCGAGGCTAATTGGGAAGGTAACTTCGTACCGATGGCACCGGTGAAGACCGCAGAGTACACCGAAACACCGACCGTTAGAGCGAGAGCCCGAGTCGTCGTGAGAACAGCTGTGGAAGTCGCGATGAGATGATGTGGCGTGCAAAGTTGTATAGCGGTGACGATGAGGACAAGGATTACTCCAAGCCCCAGCCCTGTGAGCACGGCAAAAGATACCGCACTGACCGAGTGCCCTGGTTGGATGGTGGTGAGGCCGATTAGCCCACCGGTCAAGAATAGGTATCCCGCAGCAATACCCTCCCGTACGCTCCGCAGCCTGCTGCTAAGATAGCCAAATACTGCGCTTCCGATGAAACAGCCGACATAAAAACCTTCTTGACGGGCGACAACCTTCATGGGATCGGTGGTGAAGAGCGACTCGGTCCTGTCGGCGGCAGCGGGTTAGAAGGCGGGTGAGACTGAAAAGACGCGGCGGGGACACAGCTTACATGACTGGATAGAAAATGACGAAAGACGCGCTCACAAAGCCTTCGATAAAGATGAGAAGTACAGAGATCCACGCCGTCCTCCCTGCACCATTTGGTCCTGTGAAAAGCTCGTGGGTGAAGATGCCAGTTTTCGTACCGAGCCATTCATACAGACCGAACGCGGCCAGGAAGACGCCACCCATGATGAGCGTAGACAAGACTCGTGCGTTCGTCCAGGCGTACAGGCCTCCTCCCAGACTCAAACCTGTCAGGAACAAAGCGAGACCGGCGGTGAGTAAGAAAGACCCCGGCCAGTCCATCAGACCAAGCCTCTGCCATGCAGAAAGATGATCAAGCCTGGTATGTCTCTTTGGAGGCCGATAGCCGACGAAGATGCCAATGGTAGTTAATGCCCAAAGGCCCATTTGTACCCACTGCGAAAGGACCGTTAGTTTAGCCGAACAAGAGGATGTTAACAGGGTGCTGTCCTGATTTCATACATAGAAGTTCCGCCACCCCCCTACGCTGTCGGTCTGTAGAAAGGCGCCGAGGATGACTGGTGCAATCATTGCCCCTACAAATCCGCCAATCTGCATGGCAGCTTGGATCACTTTTCGACCGGATTAGCTCGATGAATCGCATGCTGATTGGTAGGAAGCCTCTTCTTACTTGGCCGCCATCTGCGAGGGACGATCTCGCTGGGTACGCAATAAGCCAGTGGGACCGAGGCGAAGCCAACGCCAATTAATGTCTGACCGGCAATGACTTGATACAAAGACCGAGATCGTGGGACTATGGCCGCTCCGACAACTGATATGAGACATGACCCGACGAGCAACGTCTTGCGGGCTTGGAACAGATCTGACCCTGACGAGATGACAGGCCCAAGGACGGCTTGGACGAGGGAAAGGGCATTGGGAACCCAAGACTGCAGATTCTGCTGACCGAATTCGCCCGCGATCGTTCCCAGCTACGTGTAAAAAGGACCGCGTTAGCATGGGAGCCTCTTCTCTCTCTTTTTCGATAAGGGGACAGGTCTCGTTTCACTGACAAATACCGGTGGTCCATTCAGCGCGATAAGCTGGACCATGTTCAACATGACCATCGCAGCGAGCGCGACCCAGGTCCGGGCGTGGAGGACGGGCTCTTGGTCCGCCTCATCGTAATTGAGGTTCTTCCCTGCGGAGTCTAGTATCTCTACCTGTTGCTCCGCAGGATAGGGTTTTTCTTCAGCTTCATCGCCATTGGGGGCAACCTGTGCGGATCTCTCGTGCTTCGTAACTGCAAAGGCCATGGTGAGAAAGATCGTTTGAATCTTTTTGGTGCACGTAGCGTTTCTGATAGAGACTTGTTGTGACTTCGACAGGCGTACAAATCCTTGACAATCCCTATCTAATATAAGTCCATCGATTGATCACCATGCTTAGAAAAACCCCATGGGGTCCGTGTCGGAATTGCCGCCAGATGGAGGAGGGAAGAGCCTAGACTGCTGGATGAGTTTTCCAGCCGCGGCGACGCCCCATAAGTGTCCCATTCCATGTATTCGGGGGTAACTTATTGCAGCGCATCCGCACCCAAGTCTTTGCCAGCAATCTTTCCTGGTCAATCAAGGTTGAGAGTAGTCGCCCCGAAAAGTCGTGCTGTCCGACGTCGCTTGGCTAGTAGGAGCATGCCGCCGGATCTGTTGATGCCGCCGGGAAATCCGCCTACTCAGAGTGGGTCGTGATACCTGACAAACATTATGTTTTCTCCTGACCCGACCAGCATTACCAATATCCTGGCGGTTCACTCATTATTAAGCACTCTCACTTGTGCTTTCGGAGACAGTATACACGCTTGTAGTCGGTGGTTTAAAAGGCTTACAGACCAGGGGCAACGCATAGGAAACATGACCAAAATTAGGCAAGGCTGATATTTTGGCAACCAAACTCTATTTTCAAGACCTCTAGCCATGGCGACCAAGTACAGCATCGGTGACATCGAAGTCGCATTTAAACCAGCAAACCGAGACTTCAGCAAGCGGTGGAAGGGTTTTGGTCCCGGCAAAGAAGTGCTCCCCAGGGGCTGGCGGAAGGAGCCCGGTCGACGCGCTTTGGACAGTGACCTGATCTTCGAAAGAGACGTCCCCGTTATTCTGCGGGACGGGTGCAAGATATACATGGACGTTTTCAGACCTCCATCTTCTGACAGCACCCCGGTCGCGGCCATTGTGGCATGGAGTCCTTACGGGAAACAAGGCAATGGTAGGTTCTGTTATAATCATTCCTGGCCCGTCTGGGACCGCCCTAAGTTCCCCCTTACAGGCTTTCAAAGTCTTGACCGTGTCCCCTGGCGGGCTGGCATCCCGAGGGACTGGACAAGCGACCTCGAAAAGTTTGAGGCTCCAGATCCCGCAGAATGGTGTCCGCGAGGCTATGCGATCGTCAATATTGACGTTCGCGGCACTTTTGATTCGGAGGGAGATCAACTTGCCCAAGGAACACAGGTGAGTATATGATCCCACTGGACCTACAAGCGGCGCGTCACGGTTTCGTCTGACCCGTGTGTGGCACGCGCTTCTAGGAGGGCCGAGATGGCTACGATACTGTAGAGTCCATCGCTTCGCGCTCGTGGTGCAACGGTGCCGTTGCATTTGCTGGCAATTCGTGGCTTGGGATCTCTCAGTGGTAAGATACTACAGGACCTCCTCCGCAGCGCCGTCCGGACTTTCATGGACGCTCACACACAGACACACCTTGTCAGGTTCATTGCGGCTGAACGGCCACCTCATCTGAAGGCCATTGCTCCTTGGGAGGGCTTGGCAGACAGCTACGGCGAGATGAACGTCAGAGGAGGCATTCCAAATCCTTCGTTTGTCGACTATCGCGGCGAAGGCTACTGCGGTAAGACAGACAGCTTCTGGATCCTATTCCATTCGACCACGAGATCCACACTGACCTGACTCTCTCTCCTATTAACATGGCAACAGGCAATAGCGGCCGCGAAGATATCGGTACCATGATACGCAGATACCCACTCTTCAATGAATACTGGGAGGATAAACGCGCCAAACTTGGCCAGATCGACATCCCCGTCTACGCCCTGGCAAGCTTCTCCAGTGGTATACATACCCTTGGATCCATCAAGGGTTTCCTATTCTCGTCGACAAAAGATAAATGGTTCGTCGGTGACAAATTTGACAATTACCGCGCTAACCAGTGTGGCAGGCTTCGGATTCACCACACGCAAGAGTGGTACGACCTTTATCAAAAATGGGCAAACGATGATCTCCAAAAGTTTTTTGACCGCTATCTCTACGGAAAGATGGACAATGGCTGGGAGTCGACACCCAGGGTCCGGCACAGTCTGCTCGGTTTCAATGTCCCTTCGGTCGTGAATCGTTCGGAGCCCGTCTACCCGCCCACCTATGTCAAGCACAGAACCTTCTACTTGAATTGCAAGACTGAAGCTCTGGAGGAAAGCGGCGAAACACCGCCCACAGAGCCTTCGACGTCAAGTTACACCTCCGATTCCTGGGATGACGACGGGGCACATTTCACCTACAAGTTCGGAGAATACACCGAACTGATTGGGTTTTCCCAGGCCAAATTGTACATGTCTTGCGCCGAAACAGATGACCTCGACGTTTACGTCATTGTGCGCAAGCTGGACGCCAATGGACGGCCATTGAAGCATCTCAACATACCCCTCGAGAGTCTACCGGCAGGGACGACACCCGACGATGTCCCAGACTTGAATATTTTCAAGTACCTAGGGCCCAACGGTCGACTTCGAGCCTCGCACCGACGTCTGAGTACCGACCCAGACATCTCTGCCGAGCAAAGTGCGATGCTTGCTCCTGCCGTGGCCTATCACGCCCACGACAAGGAGGAGAAGATCCCGCCGGGCCAAGTCGTGTGTCTCGACATTCCACTATGGCCTTCCGGTATGATCTTCCAGCCAGGCGAATCCATGCGGCTAGAAATCAAGGGGCACGAGGTGACTTTGCCCGAGTTTCCGCAGTTGTATCGCGCAGCTGAGAATGGCAATCGTGGGAAGCACGTCGTGTATTCCGGACCAGAACATCCATCCTCGATAGTGATATCTCTGGCCACTGGGCAATCTGTTCAAGGTAGGGTGACTGCTGAATGACAATTGCACGGGGTGCCGTTCATAGTTGGATTTTCGCGCGGGAGGCATGGCAGAGGACGGGCAATGAAAAAGGAGAAAAGTTCTTCGGTTGTATCATTCATGTCCCTACAATGTCAAGTTCTTGTGCCCACCGTGTCCAAAATAGAGGCTGTAGGCTGTCATCAAATGGATAACTGTTGAGCCAATCGAGATCCCCCAAGGCTTCTTGTTCAATGACACCTTCAGTTGCGTAAGACTGCAACGGTGTTCCCATGTTTCCCGGCGCCTCGGCCTGCTCAAAAGATGTGGGCGGCAGCAGTGTTGTGCCATCAACATTGACATCCACGTCGCTCGCCGATGAACCACCCTGCCGTATGTCTGATAATGCTGGCTGTGGGGCCTTTTTTGCCCGAGCAAGGCATCTCTTGATAATCGCCGTCGCAGTCCTGGCAACCTGGCATTCATCCATGGCTTGTAGAATTAGTATCGAACGGTCAATGTGAGCGAAAAGGCTGTCGAGTGCATGCCGGCTGGTCGCAAGTTGTTGAAAAACGGCGGCGAGTAGTATGCTGACCGCAAATAACGTGTATGTTGCATTATACCACCTATTCATCAAAGATGGTCAGAAGTCAAAGGGGAACATTTATACTTCGCAGGGCCGATATCTCCTGACGGGTCGAGAATCAATGTGCTTACCATGTCTGAAAGAAACTGTCGCCCAAGAATGTCTTGTATATTAGGTCAATCGTGCTTTCCGCCGCATCTAGACACTTGCGCTGACACTGCCGCACAGATGTCGCAAAGCCTGACGATGTGTCTGCGTCGCCGTCCTCTTGAGTCATGAATGCGGCGTGGATCATCATATGTAGGTTTAGGTAGCCTGGAGGTTTGGTCGTCAGAAGGCAAGCTTTGCTGCGAGCAAGAGATGTCTGATCTTAAAACTTACGAAGCTGGAGCACGACGGATTGTTTCTTGGTGCAGTTGGTAAACGCGTGTGGCTTCAGGGATTGGCTTGGAAACACGTCTTGGTCGATACGAAGGTAGGACGGGATTTGTTCAAGCCAGCTACACAAGGTGGCATCGAGTGTCTGTGCTCGCCGGAATTTTTCGCCCATCTCGCAGGGCACCGTGTACAGGGCGAGTGCTACTTTTCGCATGATCCTCGAGAGCTCAACCATGCAGGGAACAATGTCAAGATTGTCGGGGATCGAGCGGGTCATGTCCGATGCTTTGGTTGGAAGATCTTGTGTATGGTATTCGTCGGGCCCAAGGCTGTCAGGTCGGCCGAGAGCAAAACTAGTCTGTCTATTGTTCCACAAAGTCAGTGCTCAGGAAGAACCTTAGAAGCAAGCTTCTCCGTACATATCGAGACAATAGACAGCCCTACCCACAACATCAGTACAAAATTGATTGGAAAGTCAAGGGTCTCAAGCAACATACCACCATGTTTTCGATGCCATCATGGAACTTCTTGGATCAGTTACGTCGGTACCAACTGGTCGTCGATTGATTCCGATCGCCAATGAGGTTCTCGCCGCTTGACCAGAGTACAGATATGCCACTAACGAACTATGTTAGGCCACGTGTAGAACCAAAAACGACCGTCCAACGTACCATGAGGGTTGAGTTCGTGCTGATATATCTTGCTCTTGACGAGGTCGGTGTTAGTTGGAAGCATCGAAGCATACCTTTGGGAATTCTTTACCATCATGTAATAGCACTGAACCATCTCAATGTCTGTCGCTGCACCGAGTCGTGTTACGATGGCGAGCGCTGTATCGAATAGCCTTCGACTCCAAGTGAAACGATCGGCTCCAGCAATCTCTGGGGTCTCGAGAGTCATCACGAGGCTGCCCAGACTCAAAGTGACGTAGTAAAGAGCTACGAAAGACAATGGCTGCTTTTCGGGAGTGTTGAACCAGAGGTCTTCGCAACGACTCAGAAAGCTTTCTTCGTCGAAAATGGGCTGGATATGGTGAATATTGGAGAAGTATGAATCCAAGAATCGTCTAGCAACACGGAAATGGAATCGGTCAAAGTTGGAACTTGCCTCTGGTGTTCGCTGCGGCTCTTGCGACATGTCGGGACAGAACTCGGTGTTCTGCAAGAGTGAAGCTAATGAGCACCTTGATGGTCCGCGTACGGAGTCTGTAGCTTGGCTTTTTGATAACGTTTCCATGTGACGAAGGAACGCTACGGATGATGAGGATCCGTAGAATTCGAGATTGCTTGTGTGCAAGTTTGTGCCCATAACGTCAGACGCCTTCCTTTGTGGCGTTAGAGAGACGGAATTAGTACTGTTCATGCTCATAGAAGATAAAGGAGGCTGCTTCCACGTCTCGTTGGACTGTAGAAGGCGTGGCTGGTGAGCAGAAGTTTGTTCAACGGGCTCGGCATGCCTCGGCGCAGTTGACCAAGATCCTTCGACGTTGTTCTGCTCGGAGTTGATGGCAGGAGATTGATGGCGTCGCGAAGAGCCAGGGTTCATCCTCGGTGATTGGATTTGCATGATTGGCCTGTGTAAGTTGTCAGGCAAAGATACATGACGATCGATGAAGAGGTGCTTGCCGTGACCGTTGTCTTCTGTCGCGATGGGCACGAGAATATGTACATTCTAAGCCGTGTTCTGATTCATCGCGTTGAGTCATATAAAGAAAGGTAGATACCGGAGATAGAGCTTACCGACGCAGTATGTGCATGGCTGGTCCTCGCTGCAGCGATTTTTCCTGGTCCGACATACCTCACAGGCCTGAAGCGCCCTTATGCGTTTCGGCCTTCCACTCTGCAGCATTCTTCGATGGATTCCGTCGTGAACCGATGCTTCGTGACTGAATTGTTATTTGTCACGCGCTAAAGGTATTCAAATGGACAACAGTTGGTCACCAGAGGAGTCGGAAGAATCATTACAGTCGAGTCGAGGCAGGCATGTTGGGGGAAAATGAGGAAAGGGAGGAGAAACAGGCAGCGAATTTGGTGCCTATGTACAGTTTCTAGAGCTAAGGTAGCTGAATACGGGCCCCTAGAGTGAGATCCTGAATGCTTAGATCGCCCCCCCAAACAGCCCAGACAATTATAAATTGATAACAAATGACAGCTTTAAGGGTTCTCGGGCGGAAATGCTGATTTTCGCCTGTGCCCCACACAGCCTCCGTCTTCCATCTTCCACGGCGGAGTGCAGTATACAGTAGGTTACGGAGCTCGTTGTCATCTACTCGGACAAGTCTTTCTTGCTACAAGTAACTCAGTCACACTCTCTATGAGTTGTGCTCAGGCGGCGGACAAAATTGATCCTGCAATGCTCCCCAGCTCTCCTCGGAATAGCCTGGCTGCCGCTTCGCGCACTTGGTCAAGCCCCAGTCTGTGATCCCTACCATGTAACAACTCTCAAACATGAAAGCCATGCTTCCTAGTCCAACTTTGACAGGTGCGAGCTCTTCGTTAGAGGCTTTGTCAAAAGCTGCCCTGTCCGGACCATGGCTGCTCATGCAATTGTGTAGGCTGGCCCCGGCTGCTTGGAAGCCTCCTTTCCCACCCTCCTTGGCGATATAAGAACCTTGTATAAGCCCCATGAACTCGCTCATGCAGTTTCGATGGTACGACGGAGGTCGGAATGTATCTTCGGCGACCAGCCAACGTGGCGGAAAAATGACAAAGTCCGCAATGGCTGTGCCGGGATGTGCGTTTGTGGTGGCGGTGAGTACCGTGTTCAAGGACGGGTCTGGGTGGTCATACGAGATGGTGCCGATTGTGTTGAACCGACCTAGGTCATACTTGTAAGGGTAGTATCTTCCCTCCCAAGCGACCACGTCGAATGGCGTATGGGTTTGGCTGGCCTGAAAGAGCTGGCCTCGAAATTTATTGTACACCAGCCAGTTTGACTTGGTGTCGCGGCTGTATGCCGCGACGGGAATTTGGAAATCTCGTGCGTTGGCCAAACAATTTGATCCTATGGGTCCCAGCTCGGGAAGCTGAAAGTGCCCGTTATAGATCTCTAGAGCATATCCCCTGATCGGGTGCTCATCCACAAGATCCACACGGTATCTTATGCCGCGAGGCAAGACGCATATTTCGTTTGGTCGGACCAGTAGTCGACCCATCTCGGTCTGTATATCAAGCGTACCTTCTTGCGGCACGATCAGCATGTCGCCATCTGCATCATAATAAGCCGTGTTGTCAGCCATCGATCGCGTGGCACCATAGATGTAATATGCGACGCCGTTCTTCAGGGCAGGATCCCCGGCTCCGGCCACCATGTTCAGACCGTGAATCCAGTCCACATCGATGTTGAGATCAAAGGGATCCCACCGAAGTTGGTCAGGAACGTAATTCAACTTTGTCTCAAGACCATTATCGGTAGACACCACGGGCGCGAATGTCGCGTGAGAGGCCGAGGGGATGATGCGGTACACCCATGTCTGCTGGTTTTCCCATCGAGGCGCTGTGAATGCAGTGCCTGAGATCTTCTCTGCATACAGGCCGTAGGGACATTTCTGAGGTGAGTTCTGGCCTACAGGTAACGCCCCCGGGATGGCCTCCGTTCTAGCCGCAGAATTAGGGTCGGCATATCAATATCTCAAAACCACTTACTCCAGATTAGACAAGAACCCCGTCTGGTACGTATATTTCTCCGGAATTTCAAACGTCGTGTAGGGCATCTTGGTTAACCCTGTAAACCGCGACGCTCAGATATATTCACAGCACAAGGTTGCTCCGTACTTTAATTTCTTTGCTCGAACTCGTAGAAAAACCCCTTGTCACCCGGCAGATCTGCTGTTCGACATCTACTTGTTCGTTATTTACAATGGCATGAGGGGCTTCAAAGCGGACATGGATCATGGCTTGCTCAGCACTACGGAAGCATTTCCGTGGTGACAGGGATGAAGGACGACATCCGCCGGAAAACCCGTACAGTTATTTCACGGTTGTCAAAGCCTTGTGGACGTGGACAGCGGTAACAGCCAGGCGATAAATCATGAAAAGGCACCAAAAGAAATTATGCAGACCCTTCAGTCAAGTGTTTTCTAAACATCGTTCCAGTAAAGATGCGAGCGAGGAGTTGGTTGGATATTCCCAAAGGGTCGCACTTTTCGCTGGCCAACATACCATTTGGGATCATTACGACCCCCAGATCTGATGAAAGACATGTAGCAGTTGCTCTAGGCAACCATGTTCTGGATTTACACGAGTTCGCGCATCGTCAGGGCTTCACTGGACTCGAAGGCTTCACTCCCAGCCAAGTTGCGACCTTTTCAAGACCTGCTCTTAATGACTTCGCCGCTTTGGGCCAAAGTGTCCATGGCAAAGTCCGCCGGTATCTGCAGAATGTCTTCTCGGAAGAAACGTCCTTTTCTGCCTTGCTGAAATGTAACGTCGAAGCTCAGCGGGCCTGTGTCTTCCACAAGGACCAGGTCAAGATGCATTTGCCCATGAAGATTGGAGGCTACACTGATTTCTTTGCCGGGAAAAACCACGCGTACAATTGTGGTTGTATCTTCAGGGATCCTGCCAAAGCCTTGCAACCCAACTACTTGCATCTTCCTGTGGCTTACAACTCACGAGCGTCGTCGGTGGTCGTTTCGGGCACCAGTGTACGCCGGCCTCAAGGCCAATTCTTGCAGAGCCCATCCGACACCCAGTCCAGCTTTGGCCCATGCCGACGATTGGACATTGAGCTTGAGCTGGGGGCATTACTGTGCAAAGGCAATGACCTAGGCGAACCAATTGATGTCAATGAGGCAGAGAAGTACATCTTTGGCTTTGTTTGCTTAAATGATTGGTCAGCTCGGGACATACAACAATGGGAGGCGGTTCCTTTGGGCCCTTTTAATGCAAAAACATTCGCGTCGACCATCAGTCCGTGGGTCATTTTGAAGGATGCCCTGGAGCCTTTCCGAGCTCTGGCAATGCCAAACGAGACCAAGTTACATCCTTATCTGCAGGAGAACCGCGAAGAGAATGTCTACGACATCAATCTGGAAGTCGAGCTCAGAGGTAAGTTGGTCCCGCAATTAGATTGATACACTCGAGATGCTGATAGAAGCCATCAAAGCACCTAACGGCGAGTCTGCAATCCTGTCACGCACCAATGCCCGCAATCTCGTTTTCTCTTTTGCGCAAATGCTCGCTCACCACACGGTGGGCGGCTGCCCGTTGGAAGTCGGTGACCTGATAGGGTCTGGAACCATCAGTGGTATAAAACCTGGCAGTTTAGGCTCTTTCCTCGAAGCATCCAATGGAGGGAAGAAGAGTTTCGATCTATCCACTACAATACGCCGAACTTTCCTGGAGGACGGAGATACTATTGTTATTCGAGGATGGTGTGGAGACGAAGATTCAAACATGGTAGGCTTTGGCGAGTGCTCAGGAACGATCTTGCCATCGATCAAACCGTCATGGATATAGAACGGTATCACAACCTAGACAAAATTGGCTTACAATGGTAAAAGCGTTCCGTAACGTGCGAGTATTGTGCTGAAAGTCGGAGCTTCATGTCTTGCGATTGAAACATCCGCTTGTGGGAAAGAGTTACGAGAAGATTTTCGCTCCATTCCTTTTCCAAGTCCGGGACATTGAGATAGGATCAACTGGAGTTCCGGCTAGGAGCCTAGGCTCACTACTCGTATCCATATCAGGATATGAAGATGCCGGAGCTTTCAGCTCGTGCAAGATCCCGCCGGATGTCCCGACAAGACTTGAGTAGTAATGGTCAGCTATTGCAGTCGAACTGGTACTTTGTGCTCCAAAACTCCGCCCATACTGACCGAGTCTGTTGTCCTTGGCTAAGAAGTGAGGCCAAGAATCTTCAAAAAGACTTCTATTCCTGAATCACGAGAACATAAGGCGGTAGAGAGAGGGTATTGAGTCCGCTTGCACTCTGGTTCATCAACAATGAGAAGCAGCATGGCAGATTTTGTCCCGCTTGCAGGCGCAAAATTCCACCGAGAACGGAGACTCATCGAGCTCTTGGACGTTTCATTTGCAATGATTGTGATCATTGCTCTGGTGGTAATTTTGCTGGGGCTGATATTGATATTCGACACCACAGATGTGCCGTACATAAAACACCTGCCTTCCGTACCTGGATTTCCCATCCTGGGAAACCTTTCTCAACTGGGAAGCGAACAGCCTCGTCGGCTGGCAGTATTGTCCAAGAAGCATGGACCGGTATTTCAGATCAGGTTAGGAAACAAAGTGAGCCACCATTAATCTCGCATCATGACTGGAAATTCGAGAGAACTAACAAATCAATCCTTCTTACCAGAGATTCGTGGTTGCAAACAGCTTCGAATCCGTCAAGCAACTCTGGGTCAGTAACCAGTCAAGCCTTATCTCCCGGCCCACATTGCACACATTCCACAACGTACTGTCTTCATCGCAAGGATTCACAATTGGCACATCTCCATGGGATGAATCGTGTAAGAGGCGTCGCAAGGCTGCTGCCACTGCGTTGAACAGACCTTCTGTCGTTTCTTACATGCCTTTTGTCGACCTCGAGTCCTATGCCAGCATCAAAGAACTTGTGGACCAAATCAACGGAGGGGACGGTCAAGTAGACCTGGACCCTTATCCCCTGTTTCAACGACTAGCACTCAACCTCAGCTTGACTCTCGGTTATGGATTCCGTATTGGCGGCTCGGTTGACAACGATCTGTTGCGAGAGATCATCACTGTTGAACGTGGTATCAGCACCCTGAGAAGCACCAGCAATAATTGGCAAGACTTTGTCCCGTTGCTGAGATTCTTCTCTACGAGGTCGAACCAAGCATCAGACCTCAGGCATCGACGAGATGTTTATTTGGAATATCTGTTGCAGAAATTGAAAGAGAAGATAGGCAGTGGCTCTAACGTGT